ATATGCGGCCTCGGCGGCGTGATGTCAACACGTCAAGGCTCCTTCTGATGCGTTTCGTGCGACAGCACGTTATCAAAGGGATACAGTTCATTTCAATACTTTTTTCGCTTTTATTGTGTTGTTTTCGCTAGATCACTTTATTATATAAGCGCTGCATACTTGTTTACTATGCATGAAACTTCTTGCCTGAGCCCAGCCATGAGCATCTAGAAAGGTACACAATGTGAAGTAAGAGTCCCTTTTACATCGCTGTTATTTTTTATTCATACAACCATTATCACACACCCTATTGAATGTCCATGCATACAGCCAGCATTTATGCTGCGTACTGGAATGGTATTTAGAGAACTTTAAGACTTTCAAAGGTGCACATTTGCTCTGTATGCAGTACAGAAACGTTTACATGTGTACAGCTTACATACAGAATTTTACATAGGATCCAGCTTCCAGCAGCAAGATCCTACATGGACAGGTGTATTTTATTACTCAAAGTGTGCAGAAGCCCTAATAGATAAAAGATGCTGTTCATACTGAGCCCATGCAACATAAATGTAGGCATATTCCCTGCGCTTGGAAAGCCCAGATGCTACATACAGCTGTCCATAGACGTGAATGACTATATGCCATTCAAGTGTGCATATGATGTATTTGTTAAACTTGGAAGTTTTGCATTCAGAGAAATAAATCCTACGCACATCTCGCAAATAGAGGCCTATGCAAAAGAGCTTCGTCTTTTACAAAAAGTACAAGTGCATACAGCAGTGCATTGCTATGGCTGGCTGTATGCATCACCTGTTTGGGAATAAATGACTTTGCACTGAATGCAGCTACAGAGGTGAGAGATTGTTTTAAAGCTCTTTTTAGGGCTTGTTCACACTAGTGGTTTGGGGGGGGGGGGGGGGGTGTAATAAAACTCTGCAGCTGAACCATGCTTTTGTAATGTACAAGAAATGGTGCTGCGCTACTAATTCATATAGTGAGTGAACAGTCAGCATAAACTATATATAAATAATGTGCAAACAAAAGTTAGCTGGTAAAGGATTGCCCGTTTTTGTTGGGGATCACTGATGTTTATGTTGAAGATTCACTGCGCATTTTGGGACTATATATGTATATATTTTCTGGGATATCTTTTTGTTCAATATCACAAGTCAGTTATTTGACAATTTTTTTTGTCCATCCGTTTATTTATGTATATTTTTTTCATGTTTTTTTACCCACTCCACACTTTTTCACTTGATGATTTTGTGCATTGATTGTATTCACAATTTTTGGTCACTATTTATTGTGGTTGCACTCATTGTTACTGTTACACCTGCTGGTGTAGTTTTATATGGGTTGTTCTCTTTGCACATGTTTATATGTTTTGTTTTTTGTTTTTTTATCCCTGGCCATGCGGGATCTCCTGCATGTAGGGGTTGGGGAAAGACCTGGCAACCTACCCTGTAAAAATAATTGCTAAAAGAATTCATGGAAAAAGTCGCTTACGAGTGACGGACCGTGTAATCGCCAAGGGTCGGATATGACTGAATGGATAGATGTTTTTTTTGTTGATTGTTCACTCACTTTATGAATAAGTAGCACAGCACTTTTGTTTGTTTGCACATTATTTTATATTATTTATATACTGTTTATGCTGACTGTTCACTCACTATATGAATTATTAGCGCAGCACCATTTCTTGTACATTACATTTTCTTTCCCTATTTGATTATAGTCAGGTGTTTGCAGCCACTTAGTTTAGTTTTTTATCTGGCAGCGCATGAGGTTCCCCCTTTTTTCTTTCTATTGTTGAACCTTGCTTTTACTGCCCTTAAACTGCTACCTCAATTAGCTACAGAGATTGGGGTTGTACACATGCCACAGCTACAATGCTTTGTGGCTGCAAGAGGAATATGCTCGTCGCTTTTGGGAGCACCCTGCAATGGGTGCAATGCACACAGTTACTGTGTGCTAGCGCGGGGATCAAGCACTAAAAGCTGGTGGTGAGGAGGAGATAAAACGCCACTCCGCTGCCTTTCCGATGCTTCCTGAAGAGCAAAACTAGTGTGAACGAGTTCGTTTTATGGCCCAGTCACACCTGTCCACTTTGGTGCTTTTGTTAGCTTACACACATTAAGGCTAGGTTCACACCTATGCAGTTTGCATTTGATCCGTTTCTGCAGTGCATTTTGCGTTTTTGCACATGCGTTTTTACAACTATTTTCTTGTTGCTAGGCAGTATAAAATGCAGCAAAAACACATAAAAAATGCACTTTGATGCTTTTCCATGGCGTCTCCATTCAAGTCTATAGAACCAAAAACACAACTTTTAGCATTTAAAAAAGCCCTTGACTCGTGACATGGGGTGAAAACGCAGAGATGTGAACGTGTCCCATAGGAAATCATGTTAAATGGACTGTAGTGTGTTTCTGCAAAACACTGCAGAAACGCTTAGGTGTGAACCCAGACTAAGGCAACCTATTCAATGGGCTGCCAACACACCAGATTGAACAGAGAAATATACCTGCAATATTACATTTATTCCTGGGCTTATATACACATTAACATTTTAAATGTTTTTTTTTTATAGCCAAATCGAAACATCAGATTTTTTTCATACATTTGAGAAGTGAGTGTTGTCAATACATGTATAGGGAAGTGTTCTTTATTCTGATTCTTTGAATTCCTCTATAATGCAAAATGCTTGAACCAATGCAGAGAGCAGACATTAGCTTCAAATTTCAAGCAGCTTTCTGTTACAGCATCAAACAAAGGTTAAAGAAATATCCAAGGCCTTGTTTGATGCTCTAACAGAAAGCTGCTTGAAATTTGAAGCTAATGTCTGCTCTCTGCATTGGTTCAAGCATTTTGCATTATAGAGGAATTCAAAGAATCAGAATAAAGAACACTTCCCTATACATGTATTGACAACACTCACTTCTCAAATGTATGAAAAAAATCTGATGTTTCGATTTCAAGAGCTTGGTTGACTATTTAATAAATTGCTATCATGTACAATATAAAAAAGCCAATAAAATGTAGGTATTGTATGAGGACCTTTTTAAAAGTACATTCCAGCCAAAAAATTAAAGTATACCTGTTATGAGACAGAAATGCGGGGGGGGGGTTTGCCATTGCTGGCTGCTGACATACTACTGAAAAAATGCTAGTTTTTTGGCACTCATGCTGATCCCCTGCCCTGGCAAAAAAAAAATATGTGCATCATGAAAGTTGGCAAAAAAGTCTCAAATACTTACTTGTTCTGGGTCTGTGTATTGAAGAAGAGGGCAACATTATAAGCTGCAAAGATTTTCAGAAGAGGAGGTTAATAATGGCATCCTTCACATTTTTGTTTACATGTATAGTTTTAGCCTTGAATTTTAGTCTTTGGAGTCACTCTGCACATACTCCGTTTAGTGTGCCTGCCTGTGCTAGAGTTTTTTTTCCCTTTGGGAAGGTGTATGTTATCAACACAGGCCATTCAGCACTGTCCAGATGGAGGGTCAGGGGTCCTGCAGCCTCATAGGGCAGTCATAGGAGAATGAAAACTTCTACAAGCTTTAACCAGTGCTCAGCTGGACACATATAGAAGTCATAAGACTGTTATATCGTGCTGATGAGATAAGTTATTTAGCAGTTTATATTTACTAAGCGTATTGCATTTCCATGTTGTGTGTACTGTGGGAGATCAGATATAGTGAATGCAGGGTCCTGGGTTTAGTAACAATTTTAATAGAGAAGTGGCAGCACACTGACCAAACAGGCCCACTTCTTCTGTCAGGAGCCGTCTGAAATTTGCCTGTAGTGCTTAAATTATTGACCTTCTGACAGCTGAAGAATCATATGTTGCCTGAAATTGTTCCTAAAAAGATTATATCACTTTAACAACCAGAACACCTGTTATTTGGGCAAAGCAGAGGATCCCTAAAATCTGCTGTAGATGTGAGCAGACACCTGTGAGTGGCTGTACAGTGTACTTGTCAGCGGCTTTCATTATTCTTATGCCCCATGTACATGGGACACTTCTGAACGATGGAAACTGACTGCTGGAAAACGTAGGTCAAAAAAAGTCTGTTTAGCTGCGTTTTCATAATGCGTTTATGTGCGTTTGCGTTTAGAAGTGTTTTTTAAAGATAAGCACAGGAGAACCTCCCAAATGCCCAGAATGCACTGAAAGGTGGTAAATTGTTAACTATTTTAGACTATTTCGGAGAAATACAGAGAGTAGAAGGAGAGACAGCAGTATGTGTTGAGATTAGCTTAGGTGTGAGTTGTGCGCTAACATTTCTTTTGTTTCCAAGGGTGGGAAAGGTGTCTGGTGGAGTGAGTCATTAAGGCCTCCTAGCAGGGGGTCTTCATGAGGAATTTGAGGTGTGAATGGTCATTAACATATCTTTTGTTTCCAAGGGGTGGGAGAGGACTGAGGTGTGAATTGGTCATTACAATGTGTGACAAGCTTGGTAGGAACATCCTGTGTTCAGTGTTTTGTCCATCTGAGTACCCTGAAAACACTTTGCATGCGTTTTTCATGATGAAAAAAGGCTCTTATCAGCATCGGGAACTGGAAGAGTTAATAAAAATTTTCAAACGCAAACGCTTATAAACGCGATTTGCCGTGTTTACAAGCGTTTTGCGTCTTTGCCATTGGGCTCAGATAAAATCGACTGCTGACCGCAAGTTTTCGTTCAAAAAAACTGTAAACTCAAATGCCTGTAAACGACTGTAAACAAAGATGTGTATATGGACACATAGGAAAACATTAGGGTGAGTTCAGGGGCTGCTGAAAAAATGCAGAACAGCTCCTAAACGTGAGTTTATCAGCTGCAGTGTACATGAGCCCTTAAAGTGATAAAGTTAAAGGGCATGGTCTACCTGAGGTCCCAGAGTTTGACCAGTTTTGTAGTAATGCATTAATATTTCAATGTGCCTGCATAAAATCTTCATTTTACCCTTTAAGAAATGTATTTATTGTCATATATTAGACTCATATAACATGTGGCATGTTGTCCCTCTTTTAGAATGTTATTGGAGCAGCACCCAACTGGAGTTATTCTAAGCACTGATGATTACTTTGATCAAAATGGCCAATACCAGTATGATAAAAACTGCCTGAGTGAGGCTCACGATTGGAATCAAAAGCGAGGTATGGAAATAGGCTTTAAAGCAGCACTTTATAATTTACAATATTCTTACATGAGGAACTGAACTAAATGTACTTGAGTAGTAAAAAATATTATTTTGATGAGTCTGCTTTTTGAAAAGTGAAGTAATGAAGCCAAAAGCACAAGTGAAGCCATTCCCCCAGCAAGATGTCATCTTTCATATTCTGCAAAAATGAAACAAGGAATTTGGTTATTTTTTATGAGCTCTTCGATTTTTTTATAAATCACAAATTTTTGTCGTTTTATGTTTAGTCAAAATATAAAATATCTGCTATTCTTTATGAAAATTGTTTCCTTCTCTCTGAAATGTTTTTGTTTACTTTTTGTTTTGTTTTTTTACTATGGGTACAAATCTTTGGCTACTTGCATGGTCAGCTACATTTTGCTCAGGTCGTGCTTGCGGAATTAACAATCTATATTTGTGTTTATCTCTTTGCCTGGCCCATGCTGCTGTTACTCAGCCAGCATGCACACCAGGGTAACCCATTGAAATGGATAATTTTATATTGCTTGAAAACTACATGCAGTTTTTGGGTCATTGTGTGAAACTATGCCCAACAAAATTCGAAATGCATTCTACGCCATTGGGCTCAGAACTTCCTTTCAGAGCCAGCAATTTTAGGGCCTTTGTCAGTGGGCACTGTTCACCCCAGATATGTTTTCCATTCTTATACCAGTCTATTAGGCCGAAAGCCAAATGTAAACAAAGGGACCAGGGACAGTCATTAACCAAATACTGTATGGTGAACTAAGAGACTAGTTTCCCATAAGTTCCACCTGGCTGTTGATTGATAGCACACAGTGGTGGGCAGATTCAAAAGCTACTATTGGATTGAAAAGTGGTTATGTATCTGCCCATTGCCTTGCACTGTCAATCGACAACCAGGCATACCTGATGGGGATGTAGTTTCTCAGTTTGCCATCAGGCTCCCCCCCCCCCTCTTACTACAAATGTCCTTGACCATGCCCCTTTTGGTGTGATGGGTACAGTGGCTGGAGGGAGGGTGCACACTGAGGAAGGAATATCCAGTATTGACACTTCAGAGCACTGTTGAGCACTGACAGATTAATTTACCTGTCTGTGACAGGTACATGAATCCACTGCAAGCACCAGTGGAATTGTCAAGAGTGTCTACAAGGGTTTTCACGAGATGGAGATGATCTACTGAAGATCATAGTGGGTGTTTGTTACAGGGACAATTTTGATATGAATAGTTATTTCCAGATTTCTTCTTTTTGGAAAAACTTGGACAAGTTAAACTGAGAATGAAAAAGGCTATGTTTAGTAATAGAATTAAAGAAAAACCGAACTCTGGAAGCTTTGCCCAAATAAGGCAGGCATTATTGCTTGTGGTCTCCCTGCAGCTGATCTTCCCTGCTGCTGAGATGCTGAGATAGCTGCCGGTCCAGGGATCTGGGTAGATCCTGACTTTAAAGTCAGAATCTTTCCCCAGCCTGAACCGGCTGAGTGACATCAGCTGACAGCGGACTTTAGCCTGCTGTCAGCTGGAAATGGGTCATGGGAGCGCAGAACGAACTGCACTCCAGTGATTCACAGAAGTACAGCCAAGCGATCTTTGGCTGTACTTCTCCTTTTTAGTCAGTGTGTTTTTACAGAATGTGGCAGAGAAGCCATTAGGCCCAGGGGCATTTCAATTTTTAATCCTCTAACACCATTAGACTATCATACCTACAAAGCCATTGGTAACATAATAGACCACTTCTGCATTCTTGCAATGTATCTCTAGTAAAGACCAGATAAATTAAGGAAAATAGTTGGTCCACTAGTAAAATCCTAGTCTGATATAGAGAGGCCCTAAAAAGAGAATCAGCAGTCTGTTTATGAAGTACAAACATGAATATATGGTATGGCAAGCAGGAAAATTTGATTTTGGCTAAACTTTACAATCCTGACAAATATACGTACTAACGTACAATACAATATAGTTTCCATCAGAGGGATCAGAAAGTACTTCCAGAGATAGATTTTAGTTGGTGAACAAATAGTAAAGATTTGAAAGGTAAAACAGTTTTCTTGCTGGGAGCGTAAGTTACTATTTAAGAATGCCAAAATGCCTCAGTATCTGACATATACGCACAATAATTCCTGATTATAGATGGCGACAGAAAGGCAATCTTTTAGAACAATGACGTAAACTTGTCCTTTACCATAAATGTTCCAGTTCACTTTACAAGAGCTACTGTAAACCATCACTTAAATCAGACTTTCTCCACCTCCATAGTCCAAAGAAATACCTATTACTTCCGGGGTTGGGGCAACATGTGACGCACTCTGTGCTTCCCCGCACAATGCTTGGTGTATGAGCGGCCAGTCACTTGACCTGAATGCTGTAATTTATGTGGGGTGGGGTTGACTGAGCTAAAACTCACACTAGACTTTGATTGTACAAACTGGGTGTGGGCAGGAAGCAACTGGAAGGTAAGTAAAGGCTATTACATTATCTCTTGTAAAATAATAAAGTACAGGTTCCCTTTGAATTCTAGAATTTCTTCTGTTGCAGTCATCATTTATTTTTAAATGGAATACTCTTTTAATGTCAGGTAAGCTGAAAGGTGATCATTTTGCACAGGCTGGTTTGTTTTCTATATATTTTTTTCAAAAGATAAGATTTGCTTTGTTATTCCATTGTTGCTGTTGAGTTTTTCAATTTGCTAGTTGACTTTAATTTATGCACTACCACGAAAACACGCATTTATAATATCACCTTTGTTTCAGCTAAAGATGCTTTTGAGAAAGAATGTCTCACCGATTATAATAGACAATACCAACTTACATGGATGGGAAATGAAGCCATACATCTCTATGGTCAGAACAGTTTGACATTGTACAGTTTGGAATATAATTGTGTTATGCAAAATGCCTACAAAACATTTTTAAATAGATATGTTCAGATTTGCCAATGTTTTGTCAATTGTTACGTCCCTAATTTTTTTTTTTTTGCTTTATTTTATTCATATTGTGCCAGTGTTTTTTGTTCATAGCTGTATAATTACACTTGTTTGTAAATACCGAGCAACTACCACATAGAGATAATGAGTACAAATAAGTCAGGCTTCCCTTTTGCCATTTGTGTAACAAGCACTTAGAAGCACCAGAAGTGATTATTAAAGTAGAACTAAAGGCAAAACCGTTTACTTATCTTAAAAAAAAAAAAAAAGTGAGGGTTATAACCCTTTGGGAGATTTCCCTTCACTTCCTGTCTCCTATACAGAACACAGTGAGGGGAATCCCTGGTTGTCACCAGAACTAACGTCTCGTATAGAAGATTTATTCTCCATTCCTGTTCTGGAGATATCACAAAATTTGGGATTTTTCTAAATTTCACATTTGATAATAATGGCAAACATGATCAATAGGGTGAATCTTCCTAACAGGGATAGAGACAGAAATAAAACCTGACAGATAGTCTAATCCCTCTCTACTCCTATCCAAAACTAAAAAAAAATTGCATTTACAGTCAGGTCCATAAATATTGGGACATCGACACAATTCTAACATTTTTGGCTCTATACACCACCACAATGAATTTGAAATGAAACGAAAAAGATGTGCTTTAACTGCAGACTGTCAGCTTTCATTTGAGGGTATTTACATCCAAATCAGGTGAACGGTGTAGGAATTACAGCAGTTTGCATATGTGCCTCCCACTTGTTAAGGGACCAAAAGTAATGGGACAATTGGCTTCTCAGCTGTTCCATGGCCAGGTGTGTGTTATTCCCTCATTATCCCAATTACAATGAGCAGATAAAAGGTCCAGAGTTCATTTTAAGTGTCAGGGCTCCCAGGTGTGACCAGAGGTGTGTGACTGACGCAGGGAAACGCAGACTTCAGATATGTGATAAACAATATAATTTATTAACACTAACCATACAAACATAAACGCAGTGCAATACTAAAACATAATACAGTGCAAACAAACCAAACCAACCACCCACAGATAACAGTACATACAAGCAAGCGTCGTCAGGCAGGCCGGGTCAATATCAATAGGGCAGGTAGGTGGAGATGGGTCGGGGTCACAGGCCAGGTTCAGCAGGTAGCTAGCAGCGTAGTACAGAGGGTCAGGCAGAGGGATGGTCAGGGTCACAAGCCAGGGATCAGAACAGGTAGCAAGCAGCGTGGTACAGAGGGTCAGGCAGAGGGATGGTCAGGAGCGAGCCGGGATCAGAGCAGGAGAAGTCAGCAGCGGTTCAGATCAGGCAGGGTCAGCAAAGGAACAGAAACAGGATGCAGGACAGATACAGGGCCCAGGACAAAACACAGCACCAAGGCAGAGTCTGCAAGTCTGGCCATCCCTTAAATACACCAGTATCATCAGTTCCAGGTGTTAGCTGGCTGAAAAGTCTCTGATTGCTGGGAGCACCCGCTGGCCAGCCCTGGTACTGCAGATCAAAAGGCAGGTGAGTCCCACCATTGCTGGCCAGTCCATTCCTGACATTAAATTTGCATATGGAATCTGTTGCTGTCAACTCTCAAGATGAGATCCAAAGAGCTGTCACTATGAAGCAAGCCATCATTAGGCTGAAAAAAACAAAACAAACCCATTAGAGAGATAGCAAAAACATTAGGAAAAAAGAAGGAACGCATCGGTGAGCTCAGCAACACCAAAAGACCCGGAAGACCACGGAAAACAACTGTGGTGGATGACAGAAGAATTCTTTCCCTGGTGAAGAAAACACCCTTCACAACAGTTGGCCAGATCAAGAAGAACACTATCCAGGAGGTAGGTGTATGTGTGTCAAAGTCAACAATCAGAAGAAGACTTCACCAGGGTGAATATAGAGGGTTCACCACAAGATGTAAACCATTGGTGAGCCTCAAAAACAGGAAGGCCAGATTAGAGTTTGCCAAATGACATCTAAAAAAGCCTTCACAGTTCTGGAACAACATCCTATGGACAGATGAGACCAAGATCAACTTGTACCAGAGTGATGGGAAGAGAAGAGTATGGAGAAGGAAAGGAACTGCTCATGATCCTAAGCATACCACCTCATCAGTGAAGCATGGTGGTGGTAGTGTCATGGCGTGGGCATGTATGGCTGCCAATGGAACTGGTTCTCTTGTGTTTATTGATGATGTGACTGTGACAAAAGCAGCAGGATGAATTCTGAAGTGTTTCAGGCAATATTATCTGCTCATATTCAGCCAAATGCTTCAGAACTCATTGGACGCCACTTCACAGTGCAGATGGACAATGACCCAAAGCATACTGAAAAAGCAACCAAACAGTTTTTTAAGGGAAAGAAGTGGAATGTTATGCAATGGCCAAGTCAATCACCTGACCTGAATCCGATTGAGCATGCATTTCACTTGCTGAAGACAAAACTGAAGGGGAAATGCCCCAAGAACAAGCAGGAACTGAAGACAGTTGCAGTAGAGGCCTGGCAGAGCATCACCAGGGATGAAACCCAGCTTCTGGTGATGTCTATGCGTTCCAGACTTCAGGCTGTAATTGACTGCAAAGGATTTGCAACCAAGTATTAAAAAGTGAAAGTTTGACTTATGATTATTATTCTGTCCCATTACTTTTGGTTCTTTAAACAAGTGGGAGGCACATATGCAAACTGTTGTAATTCCTTCACCGTTCACCTGATTTGGATGTAAATACCCTCAAATTAAAGTTGACAGTCTGCAGTTAACGCACATCTTGTTTGTTTCATTTCAAATCCATTGTGGTGGTGTAAAGAGCCAAAAATGTTAGAATTGTGTCAATGTCCCAATATTTATGGACCTGACTGTAGTTATACTTTAACCCTTATCAAGCTTTATTTACCTTTAAATATTATTGGTTGTTGAAGGGTTCACAGACCAATCTTAACCACTTGCCATCCTGCCCACAGTACTCTTACTGCAGGCTGGCTGCGTGTACAGACATAGCACAATACCTGTACGTTCGCTTGGGCATGCGTAGTAGCACGCCCCCTGGAGCGCATGGTGTGATCCCGTGACTGCTGTGTCCCCTGGACACAGAGGCTCAGAGTGCCCAGTTCATGGCTCACGGTGTGCTTGGTACCCGGCTGCTCTGAGTGGCCAGGGTATCATGTGATCATTGTGACCAATCATAGCGATCACATAATAACAATGTAAACAAACTGTCATGAATGGATTTTATTCATGAACAGCTTGCTCACTATTGTGCTGTGTTTGGCCCACCACTATAACATGGTATAAGGCAATTCAGAGCAGCCTTGTACCATGTGATAACTAATAGTAAGCTGTCATGAATGAAAGTCATTCATGATAGTGAAAAGGATTGCTTATAGCAGTGATCATCACTGCTATAAGCAATCACAGTATGTAAAAAAATTGTGAAAAAAATATTTGTTGAATTTCTTCATTTTCTAAAAAATTTTGACAAACAAAATTACAACTTTAGAAAGCTCACCGTGCATTTTACTAAATACCGTGGGCTGTCTACTTTCCAAAAAGAGGTAATCTGGGGGGTATATGTAGTGTCCTGGCCATTTTAGGGCCTCAAGAAATAAGATAGGCTGCCAGTACATCAGGATGGCTCAATTGTCAAAAATATATATACCATAGTTTGTAGACTCTGTAACTTTCACATAGACTAAAATTATATACATTTATTATTTTCCCAGCAAAAAATAAAAAACCCAGTGGTGATTAAATTGCACCAAAAGCACTATTTGTGTGAAAAAATTATAAAAAGTCCATTTAAGTGCAGTGTTGCATGACCGAGCACTTGCCAGTTACAGTAACTTAGTGCTGAATAGCAAAAAATGTCTTAGCCATGAAGGGGTAAAACCTTCCGGAGATCAAGTGGTTAAAGACCTTGATAGATAAGGCACACACAGATTTCATAAGTTGTAAAAGCTGTGCTAAATCTGGGATCTACAGTATAATGAGAACAAGCTCATGCACTTTGATTGTTAAATGACTTTTGGGGCAAGGCACTTGATAGTTAATACTCCAAAGGACAAAATCATGGACATTTTTAGCACTTTCATGTGATGATGTGGTTTTCAAAATTTTTTTACAAATAAATATCTGAAAAGTGTGGGGTGCATTTGTTGTCAGCCCCCTTTACTCTGATACCCCTAACTAAAATCTAGTGGAACCAATTGCCTTCAGAAGTCACCTAATTAGTAAATAGAGCCCACCTGTGTGTAATTTAATCTCAGTATAAATGAAGCCCTCAGAGGTTTGTTAGGGAACATTAGTGAAAAAACAGCATGATTAAGGCCAATGAACACACCAGACAGGTCAGGCATAAAGTTGTGTAGATGTTTAAAGCAGAGTTAGGTTATAAAAAAAATATTCCAAGCTTTGAACATCTCACAGGGCACTGTTCAATCCATCATTCGAAAATGGAAAGAGTATGGCACAACTGCAAACCTATTAATACATGGCCGTCCACCTAAATTGACAGGCCAGGAGAGTATTAATCAGAGAAGCAGCCAAGAGGTCCATGGTAACTCTGGAGGAACTGCAGAGATCCACAGCTCATGTGGGACAATCTGTCCACAGGACAACTATTTAGTTGTGCACTCCACAAATCTGGCCTTTGTGGAAGAGTGGCAAGAAAAAGCCATTTTTAAAGAAAGCCATAATAAGTTCCATTTGCAGTTTGCGAGAAGCCATGTGGGGAAACAGCAAACATGTGGAAGAAGGTGCTCTGGTCAGATAGACCAAAATTGAACTTTTTGGCCTAAAACCAAAATGTTATGTGTGGCAGAAAACGAACACTGCACATCAAACTAAACACACCATCACCATTGTGAAATAGGGTGGTGGCAGCATCAGCTTTTTTTCAGCAGGGACAGGGAAGCTGGTCAGAGTTGATGGGAAGAAAGATGGAGCCAAATACAGGGCAATCTTAGAAGAAAACCTGTTAGAGTCTGCAAAAGACTTGAGACTGGGGCGGAGGTTCACCTTGAAAATTGCTGTTCACAGATGCTCTCTATCCAATCTGACAGAACTTGAGCTATTTTACAAAGAAGAATGGGCAAAATTTCACTCTCTAGAGTGAAAAGCTGGTAGTGACATAGCCAAAAAGACTTTCAGCTGTAATTGCTGCGATAGGTGATTCTACAAAGTATTGACTCAGGGGGACTGAATACAAATGCACACCACACTTTTCACATATTTGTAAAAAATGTTGAAAACCATTTATCATTTTCCTTCCACTTCCCAATTATGTGTCACTTTGTGTTGGTCTATCACATAAAATCTCAATAAAATACATTTACGTTTTTGGTCGTAACATGACAAAATGTGGAAAATTTTAAGGCAATGTATTTCCATGGATATTTGCTAGATGTACACCAACAAAACATAGGCAGTCACTCCCAGTGCTCAGAATGTAGTCACTGCCAAAGGGGGACCAGAAATGAATGGCTAAGGTTTCCAATGGAAATGCCTAGCTAGTGCTGCCCTCCTTGGATAGAGAGATCCCATAGCAACTACAAATAGAAAAATCAGGAAGGTGCAGGCACCTAGTGCATTAACAGCGATATTTTTTTTTTTTTTAAATAAAATCCAATAAGTGTCAAATGCATATTCACAAAAGTAGAAGAGAAAAGCTCAGCTCTGAAGAAGGGGTACACCCCCGAAGTGCATCAGCTTGGCAGGGTTGCATGTTTATATGTGGTTTCCACACTGTGGTGATTTGTGTTTTAATGTCCTTTCCTCTTCTACTTTTGTGAGTATGCACTTTGTACTTACTGGATTTTATTCAAATGAATCACTTGGTAATGCACTAGGTGTCTATGACTTCCTGTTTTTTTTTCTTTTTGTTTTTGTTACTAGATGTTTTTAGTCATGCATTATTTGGCCAACATTTGTGCACACCTAATCATACCTAGTGTCAATGATGTGCACTGCATACTACTGAACATAAAAAAAGGAGGAGACTGCTTAGGCTGTCCATCTGCATTCAGCTTCTCAAGCCATTCTGTTATGACTGACTTTAAGGGGCCTTTCACCAGGGCACCTGGCCTGGACTGGCCATAGGGCACACTGGGCCGCATGTTCTGACAAGACTGGCTTGTTGGTGACCGAGCTGCACGGCAGGAGGTGGGCCATAGTCCAGACAAGGCTGACACGGGCTGCTGTTGCCACTTGCCTCCCGCTGTGCAAAATGACTGTGTCTCTTCTCCCGACTCTCCTGCCCCTCTGGCGGTGTCGTCCTGTCTGCGGAGTGGAGCAAGCTGGAGATCTGCACAGAAAGCAGTCTTTTCATATTGACAAGCGGGTGTTCACTCACTTGTTGATGTGATCCAGGTTTGCAGCACCTCACACCCCCTGCTGGTGGGGTGGCATTGTCGGCAGGAGACTCTGGAGGGACTTAGTCCTGCCTTTGCCCTGCCAGAGGAGGGACTGTGCAGGACAAGTGGAGAGTGGGAGGGGGCACTGTGGTTGGGGGGGGGGCACTGTGGTGGGGAGCTGTGATTGCGGGGGGTGCTCTGCACTGTGGGGGACCACTGTTATTACGGTTCCCCTATGCAGTGTGATCCCCATTCTATCACAGTGCCCCTTTGTGTTGTCATGCAGAGGATCGGCTCCGCGGGTTATTTACATGCAGTGTGATCAAGTTTTACTTTAACCTATTTTTTGCATAGAGTTTAGCAGATAGAGTATGCTTTCATTGCTCAGAATAAAGCTAAGTGAAAATTGTACAGAGCGGGTATGTCAGCTGGTATGGTCATGGTTCCTCTAAATTACCAGTAGGCAAGTAGTAAGCTTCCACCCAAAACTGACAAGCATAGACTGGCATACTGATGTTTACGTTTAATTTTGCAAATGTGGCCAAGAAGTGGGAAGGTAACATCATAGAGAAATAAAATAGATATTAGACTTGGTATTTAGACAGAGTACTTGCTAAATTCACTGAATATCTCATTTTAGAAAAACTGTTTATTATTTTTGAACTTTAAATGTTACTGAGTGCCGCTCTTTTATGTACTGAAAACTAACATGCTTATGATACAACATTTATAAAACTATTTGTATTTGCATATTTCTGTATATCAATGTATTTGACATTTTTTGTTACTAGGCCATGAAACACAAATATAAAGTAACATTTCGAGAACCAGAAACATGGTGGAAATATAAACCTAAAGAGCTAGAAAGGTACTAGTACAAATTATAAATTATTCTCATAATGTGTTATTATTAACACCTTTTTCTATAAGCTGAACTTAAGGTAGAAATGTTAACACTAGCTCATGCATACATACAATCATTTGAGAAAATTACAGGGTTTTTCTCTACCAAAAAGTGATATAGATGTAGCATTATGGACTGTGTCTGTTCCTAGCTCCTTACACATCTTGGATACTTCTACAGCAAAATGTACCTGAAATTATTTTTCACTCTGTTCCCAACTGCCTGGAAATCTGGGGTGTTTAAGCCCTTCTTGGTATGTTTTTGCAGTACAATTTTCATTCTATATAAAATAAAATACAAAATCTTACAGGGGAATTCAAACCCCATCTTAATGGCCACACCATGTGTATAGAGACCTAGGAACTAAAGTGCAGAGTGTGCATCAACAGGTTCTCCTTTCATTTAAACGTATTTGTAAATGCAGCTATTGTAAGGACCCAAGTCTGTGTCTTGATGTCAGACTCCTGGAATTCCCCACAGAGCAACATTCAGACTAGAAGATTTATCATCATTGTGGTGATTCTCCTTTGTCTCACTGAAGGTGGCCACACAGTTTAAATTTGCTCCAGTTTAATGATTGATGCCACAATCAAATGCTCATTGGGTGTATATGTCTTCCCTCTAAAGTGTCTGTATAGTAATTTCAAACTTGTAGGAAAGTGTTTATAAAATGGCTTCCAAATTAACATTGTGGTGGTTTTAAAGGATGGGCAGGTACTGAGGATAAGGGATCTCTTCATCCACTTCAAATCATGTATGACCACCTCAAATTATTATTGAAGTAAACAGACCTGAGCTTCACGTATTGATATTTTTTCTAGTAGCAGTTACTCATGTGAGAACAAGTCCTTGATTTGCACTTAACAGATTCTTATACTTGAATATATACAGTAAATGATTGCCCTCCTAGAGTAGGCCTGTTCCGTAATTCATAACATTGCCTAGAATGTGTGAGACATTTCAATGAATAGGTTTGCAATTAATTTTTCATTCCCTGAGTGGTTGATCAACTTTTTCTTAACTGACTTTGAGATCAATCCTATAAAAATCTTTCATCTGGAGAATTGGTAAACCTTGAGCAATTAGGAGTTACTATAAATTGCTGGATAAGAACAAACAATGATATTGATTTACAACATAGCTTGTGAAACCTGGGCTTCTAAGGAGTAGAGTGAAAGGCTAGCAGGACCATGTATGCATTTCTGCCACTGTCACAGTGGGTCAGTCTACCCAAGAAAAGTTCATTTTCATTAGCTATTGGAGAGTTACACCTTGCAGCCTTCATTTAGATCTTTCAGGGACTCGAGTAGTGAGAACATTTTACAGATCTGCATATCTGGGTTATTCTGAGGGCTTCCCACTTTACAATTTTTTTTTAATTTGTGATATAGTATAGAAAAACAGGAGGAAAAATGGTGGAAACACCCCTGTAGCAGGAGGAAGGAAACTTCAAAGTGGAGGGGAACATAGTTGGAAAGTGTGACAGTGAGATCTTGGTGTTGGTGTCCCCTGCAGATATAAAAAATCAGTCCACATTTACTGATGTTTGAGTGCACTGGCCCTTTAATTAAAGTCCTTATATTCAGATGATATTGGTCACATTTTATGAAGAGGTTATGCAGTGAGAAAAGGCTCGGTCACACCATGGTGTAGGGACGTCAGTTATTCTGCACGTGTTCTACAAGGGCACAGAAACATCAGTTGTTCTCTATGTGCCCTGTTCACACCACAACACTGGTATCACCTGCAGATTGTTTTATGTGCAGGAATCTGCAACAAGTATAAAACTCATTGAAGTGCGCATAAAAACTGATGTCTCTGCAAGTGAAATCTGCTCATCAGTTTCCACCAGTTTTTCTGCACGTATGGTGTGAACGGTTACCTTCCAGGCTTTGGCAAAATTGTAAACAAACTGAAAGTATCTGTAAATGGCAGTTGGCAAAAAATGAGGAAATTTAGATCGGATTTATGTGTCTGTCCAGGTAGCTATGGAAAAAAGAACAATATTTTTCTGCAGATATTTATAGGTTTACCCAAATATATGTCATTGTTTATAGAAATGCTACAGACAAAAGTAAAAGTCTTCCTTTTAGTGCTAAAACATTTTAATACATAGCCATTATGTTGTTCCATCATCCCCTTAACCCAAGGTAAAATTTGTTACTCAGAGTAGAAGGGCTGAGTGATTCAAATTTTTATATACAGTCTCTCCATAATTCAACTGATTGGGTCCTTTCAAGCAACAGGAGTTGGTGGTGGAAGTGTTTAGAAAGCAGATAGAGTTCTGGTAAAGTCCAGTTGTGTTTCTAAATATGAGGTGGATACCATACCAAAAGATATTGCAGCAGTGGAAAATTGAATCTCCCTCTACAGGGTAACATGCATATGTTACTGATGAAGACACAACATTGATTGCACAGATAATTAAATACTTTTACAGGTATAGACACACTGGGGTGTATTTACTAAAGCTGGAGCGTGCAAAATTAGGCTCACTTCTGCATAGAAACCAATGAGCTTCTAACCTCACCTTGTTCAGTTAAGCTTTGGCAATAAAACCTGGAAGCTGATTGGTTTCTATGCAGAAGTGAGCTGATTTTGCACTCTCCAGCTTTAGTAAATAATCCCCAGTGTCTATGCAGCCATATGCTGCTTGCCGAGAAGACAGATGGGCCAGGTTTATTAGTTAGTTGCTTCTGCACATTTTCAGTGTAGTGCATTGTAAAAAGTCTTGTTTGCTGCGTCTTTGATGTGGCTTTGCACAAAACACACATTGCAGAAGGATATATGGTAACATATGTAAAACGCATTTACAACACACCACCCCAAAACACATAGCTGTGAAGAGTCTCAAGATGATTCTTATCACAGGCATCCTTGTTGTCTGTCATTGATTTTTGATGTGGGGAGCAGCCATTATAACTACAAGTAATGATATGTTTTAACTTTAAAATTTGAACTTTTTAATTGTTCTTGAAGATCAGAATTTTACACTTGTGCTTTCTTAATATAACTTTAAACTATTTTGTGAAGATAAATATTTAGTTTAGAATATTAAACTAGTTCTAAATATATATACCACCAAATTAATGTCTTTTACATATACACGTTATCTTACTTATGTTTAACTTTGTTTATACATCTTTATTTCAAGACGTAACATTCATGGTATAAAGAAGGAGAAGATCATGAAAATGCTAGAAAATTTTGAACGTGTTACTGTGAACTCTATATTAAATCTGTCACGTGCAAAGGACCTGAGAGTGCTGGTATACGTCAGCTAAAATCAGATGAAGGAAATGGGTATGTTTTTATACAAAACCATTACTGTGCAGTTCTATAACACTGATTGTTCATTGAAAAGCCACTGTTGTGAGAAGCGTTGCATTCTTTTATGTAACTAATGTAATGATAGTACTTAGTACAGAAATTTTTTTTTTCTTGTAACCTGTATTTATACATATTTATCTGCAAACAAAGTTGTCCAGCAAAAGTGACAGTTCAGTACAAATCATAAACCTCCCAGTGGTGCTTCAGAAGTTGCAACAAAAGTGATTTAAACCAGATGAATTAAAGGTGATCCAAGGCAATGCTGTAGTTTATTCTATTACCTTCTGTAACTGTCATGTTTACTGAACAGCCTGACCTGCAGACACACACTATGTGTATGTGTGTGTGTATACATATATATATTTATAAAATCTCAATCAAATGCAGGCACTTGTCACAGCCAAATCTTGGTCTTTTCTGGCAGACATTGCTTTGGCACTTTTATATAGCACCCTTCCGCTGATTAACATTTCTATTGGTCAGTTAGGCTGTGCATCATAGTGATGGACCATTAGGAATGTGTCAAAGCCATGTCCTAGGGGCTGGCTCTGACATTATCTGGGTGTCTCAGCAGTTTGACTGTGACAGGAGGTTTCAGCAGTTTTTGTATTTGAATTACAGATTTTATTTAAGTTACCAGAATCATATAGTATACCATATTTTTTTTTGTTTTCAGTTAGTTATAATTTGCTGCTTTTCTAACACGTGTTATTAGTCTAAATAATTTTTTTGTTTTTTTTTTTTTTTTTTTTTAAATCTTTATGCGCAGCAATAACTTGGTTAAAGAAGCACATTTTTCTACAACAGAAGCCAAAAATCCTTCTGACACAAATGTAGCAGCAGTCAGTGCAGATAAAAGCCTTGTCTCAGATGAAGGAAGAAATGGTCCTGAAATCTCACTGAATATAATAAAATCTGTGAAACAAAATTTAAAGTATAAAGATGATGAACCCGAGAAATGTTCAGATAAGGTTCAGTGCCTAGAGGATATTTACAGTGTTGAAAATGTATCCACTGAAATATGTGTACAGGAAGTAATTACAGGCAAAGAAGATAATTCAGATGTTGGTTGTAATTCATCACTGGGTGAAAGACCAGAGTTATTAAGTTTTGTTGGGGACTGGCCTTTGGAACATACTTTAAGTCAGAGAGCACCAAGAAACCGAAAAAAAAAGGCCAAGTCTGTTCAGCATCCTGCTGAAGAAGAAAAAAAGGAAGACTGCAATGTGGAGCAAATGGATTTCAATGAGCTTGCTCCAAAGGAAGATGAAACCACAGTAAAGATCAACTTGGAAACAAAATCGTCTGTAGTAAGTAATTTTGATGGAATAGATTTACAAATCATGGACAATCAATTACACCCAATTTTCTACTACAATGACAATGAAAATAAAGAACACATCGATGAATCTGGAGTTAAGTCTTCTGAAGGTCTACAGAAAGACCCACATATTAGTGTAAAGGATAAAAGTCCAGATATTTCAATTGTTACAGCAGATATGGAATTTATGATGAGACCAGGCAAGCGCAGTTGTAGAAAGTGTAAGTTGGCTCTAACCTTTAGTAATAGTTGCTCCAGCTCCTTCAGAACTGATGGAACATTGATTTCAAGTGAAATGATAGATGGTGTAGACCAAAGTAGTGCTGTAATCAGTACATGTACTCAGACTGAACCTCATGAGTTTGCAATAGCATGGAGAGTAGAGAAGAAAAAAATGGAAGTCTTTGAGTCCTTAAAGGTTCTTACAGGAAAAGTTGATCGATTTAAATCAAAGTCATTAGATAATAATGAATATTCTCAAGAAAATATACCTTATAGAATGATGCATCACAAAAGTACGTTTGTAGAAGAAGATGAGATCGTTAATCTACAAGAAGAAGATAGTCTGCAAATTCTTTGTAAATTGTTTAGGTCCCTTTCTTTTGATGTGCTGAAAGACCTTTTTGAAAGGTGCAATAAAGATCTGGAATGGGCAACAAATTTGCTTCTTGATTCTGGAGAAAAATTATATAAAGATGAATATGATCAAGACGAATGGTTAAAACATGTAGAAAAAAACTGTGAACATGTAGAAACCGATTGTCAGTTAGAGGAAGACAGTATTCACCCAGATGGCTTTCTACCAACTGATAGTACTGAATTAACTGAAGAACAGTCTGCAAGCTTGAACGTGGATGACAACATTATTGAAGACAGCAGTGGCATTGCATTAGAAAACTGTACTCTTGTTAATACTGTATCCCTAGTAGTTGCTGAAGAGTTAAAGAATGGCAATGTTTTTTATCATCTGCTGAAGTCAATGAAATTACTAACTGCATGATACTGGACAGTGTTCAACCTTGCCAAGCCACAGTACCTGATACTATTGAAGCCCATATAATGTGGTCCTCCAGTTTGGAAGGGGGGCAGTTTAATTCTCAAGATCCAACTCTTAATATAGATATCGAAACCAATAATATCGTGAATGAGAAAACCATCAAGAAAGACATTACTCAGGAAATTAATCCTGCTCATGATGGAGTGCTATATGAAAATGGAGACAGTCAAGGTGTTATTCTAACAGATGTGTGCAAAGATCAAGAAATTAAGGATGTGTTACCTGTTTTTGTAGAAGCAGATAAATCACAAAATAACTCTTCATTACAACCGAAGGAGTCCCTAAAATTTGACTATTTAGAATTGTCCTTACCTCCAGAACTTGCCTCCCAGCTCATTGAATTGTTTGGCCCTGTTGGAATCGATCCAGGTATGTTTACAGACAGAGATTTTGGCAGCTATTTTCTCATTCAGTAAAATTTCATTTTTATTTCAGTTAAATAAGATCATATCCTACTGTGCACTGATATAAACAGACATAGACCCATAATTTGTTTCATAATTGCCATTATCCAACATGACATTATCCATTCACACTCAGGCATATTTAAAACTCATGTTTGGTGGAAGCCAGGGTGAAAAATTGATGGTCTGTCCACCCAAAACTGGGGAAAAGGCTGGTGGGTTGATTATCCAGTGTTTTCTGGGGGATTATACAGTGTTTTCTGGGGCATTCTGGCAGTAAGTTCTTTGCATACGACTTCTTAGGTTTGACCACCTGCAGTGACCATTAGGAGGGAATATCAGTTGTCTTGTTGTCATTTACTTTTCATTATGTGTTTTATACTGCCCCTGCTTAATTTAAAACAGCCTGATGGTGTCTCTGAAAACTCATTGCAGCTTGTCATTACTAACATTCTTCTGAACATTTTATCTGCATGGCTGTCTAAAGCTTTAATATTTTAGGAAAATGATCTGGAACAAGCATGCATATAAGGAAAGTCAAGCTGGCCATGCATTTTTTTTTTTTTTTTTTAATCCTCCATCCACTCAAAAAAATGTGAATGGAGGCATCCCCAATCCCATTACTTGCCGCAACATTGTATTCTGACAGTGGCACCTGCTGCTTTCAGAATATACCAATCAGCCACTCATTGGCTGCATCTGCTGATTGATAGAAATGTTTCCAGCATGTCCTATTAACAAAAGTCCTATTAAACAATGGACTTCTATCGATCAGGGAAGCCCACACACTGATCAAAATGCGACCAATGTATGGGCATGTTTAGATTGTGGCCTGAGTTCTATCTTACGGTCTCAGAGTACTGAAGCCAGTTGATTAGTGTGACAGACAACTAGTATTTTCAGAAGTGGAGGTCATCTGAGGCAGCTTTCAAACTTCTCCAGTGGAGAATTTCTTGTAAGGTTTAATTTCAGGGGTAGGTCAAAGTGTATGAAAGGTCATTAAACTATACTACTAAATAAATTGCTATAAATATACTTACAGTATATTTGTACATTATGGCAGACTTTCCTGCCAGTGAAATTCTTCCAGGGCTACAACATCTAAACTCTGTTTCTTAGCTCCCTTACTGGTGCTTCCATCTTCTCCTGGGTCTGTAGTTTTTGGCTGCATTGATTTGCTGGGCCAGGATGGCATAATTCCCATGCAAGAGCAAAAGATCCGTTCCAGGTGAGTGCCGAACCTGCATAACCCCTCCACAGACACGCAGGTGCTGGCCCGATCCGTGATCGCAGATGCAATGGAAAAACAGAATGGTTGGCCACACAAACAGCAATGTGGTGGATGAAATTCCACATGTTTGTGTGAAACACATCTACTGCTCCTCCTGTCTTGGAGCTGTCATGGTCTTATCATATATCATAGACTGCATGTAAAGGATTCCAGTAAAGGATTTCATCCACCACATTACTGTTTGTGCAGCCAATAATTCCAATGTATTCAGGATGTACACTGAACTATACTTGTGCAATATGTAAATATCTGCTGCCATGCATGGGAAGAGTCTCAGTTACTACTATAAATACCTACCTGCTACCATTGTTTTCCTTTGCAATTTAGTTCCACTTTATTTGTTATTGTGAGAGCTAGGCAGTAGTTGGTGACATAGGATATGAATCCACTTTGTGTGCACCAAATGCCTTTGCTAACCCTGATATCATTATTATTACAGGTACTTGTATAGTGCTGTCAATTTACACAGTGCTTTACATATATATTATACATTCACATCGGTCCCTAACTCTCAAGGGGCGTACAATCTAAAGTCCCTAACTCAAATTCATACATACACATATTAGGGCCAATTTAGACAGGAGCTAATTAACCTGCCAGCATGTCTTTGGAGTGTGGGAGGAAACCGGAGTACCCATAGGAAGCCGGAGTACCCATAGGAAACCCATGCAGGCACAGGGAGAACATGGAAACTCCAGGCAGGTGATGCTGTGGTTGGGATTTAACCAACGACCCTAGTACTGCCAGGCGGAAGTGCTAACCATTTAGCCACTGTGCTACCTGTCATTACCTTGAAAAAAGTAGCAGTGACATCTCTATGCTGCACATAGCTTTTGCAGAGAGCAAAGCTGTGAGAGAGACCCAAAAAGTCCCTCTTACACAGAGAAAGATGGGAGAATACAAGACTATTCACACTTTTCAAGTAGAGAGAGCAGCAAACATCACACTCGATTACTGCACAGATCTGGAAGAAATACACAAAGCACATCAAGATGCAAACAAGAATACGCTTGCCTCTTGTATTAGGCAATACTTGCTTATCCTGAAATTCAGCTTTAACAAAGAAGTAAATTATGTCAATTATCAAATCCTATTAAAATATTTAATGTATGGTGCAAAAGTTAAAAAAAATACTTTTTTTATGTTTTTGTTTGTTTTCAGAAGTGAGGGGTTGGAACCTATGATCATTGTTTTTTAAATTCCCATAATTTTCACCGATTCTTGTTAATGACGCAAGCGTCAATAAAAACCTAAGAGGTTTCGAAGCATTACCTGATCTTAAACTAAAAACTCCACTACCTGAAACTATAAACAAGCAAACTCACAACCCATCTCTTCAAAACTGCCTATACATTGTTGGCAGAAATCTGTAATCCACACTTTTTAGGGATGGTAATAATAGCAACATTTTTGGAGTTCTGCTTTGAATATTGTACAGACATCATCATCATGAAAGAAGACTATTCTAGACCATAAAGAATGGTGACATCTCCATTCATGTATGTATTAGTAAGCTTGAATGGTGTATCATACCTTTGTCACGTAATTATTTTACAATGTTTAAGATGTTATCATATCCACATAATCACATCATAATCAATATTGTGGCCCATAGACTTTTATTAAAGTCCATGTTCTTATATAGATATGTGACCTTTGAGCTGCTATTGTGAATAGCTATATCTCTCGAACCATTATTACTGTACAGCCGCTACTACCTTTTCACCTTATCATAAGTGCATAAATCAAAATAAAGTATAAATATGGTGCAACACTTGTAAAAAAAAATACCTATTCATTAATCTCCATACATATGTTGTCACTAAATATTTAAACTATTTTTCATATACTATGTGTTCAAATGATTTCAAAAAATAAAAATATCAAAACATCCAGTCTCTATTGTGTGATTCACAAGCAATAAATAAATAAAAAGTCTCTTAGTAGTCCTTCATTGCTCTTCTAAAAAAACACTCAATGTGCTTGCTCACCTATTTACAATGACCATACACGTTACAAAGGTTTTGTCCTTTAAATTGGACTTGTATGTATATATCCTGCTTCCAATATGTTCTCTCTTTGCGTTAGCAACTTTTCTTTTTAATGGACTCCCAAACAGAAATCTCCTCCAGATCATAAGTACACTATGCCTTTCAAAGCACTTTCCAATCTTCACCTCCCACTCCGCAGTACACATGTTAAAAGAAGACTGTATAGTTCTTTATGTTTTAAAACATTTATTCCTCATTCCCAGCCTACAGTATTGCACTGTATTGAAGATTGGAGAGTGCTTTTAAAGGCATAGTGTACTTAGGATCTGGAGGAGGTTGCTGTTTGGGTATCCATTGAATGGAGTTGAAAGTTGCTAATACAGAGAGAGAACATAGTGGAAGAACAGAGAGAGTACATATTGGGAGCATTAGGAGCAGGAAATATACTATAAATATAAGTCATATTTAACCACCTCCCACCCGCCATATAGTAATATGATGGACGCAAGGTGGTTCTCTCGTTCTGGGAGGACGTCATATGACGTCCTCCCATTCTCACCACGCATGCGCGGCTCCGGGATCACGCAGCGCAGTGATCGGTGGTGCGCTGTGTCCCTCAGCCACAGCAGATCACCGATCACGGAAAGAGCCAAAGATGTCGGCTCGGTCATGTGATCAGCTGTGTCAAATCACAGCTGATCACATGTAAACAGGGAAATGCTAGTTATCGGCATTTCTCTCCTCTCGAGCTGTCACGCTGACAGCTTGAGAGGAGAGGAGAGCCAGTAATCGGCTTTCCGCGGAGGGGACATGTACACTGATCATCAGGCCACTGATGATCCGTGTGCCCTGACGATCAGTGTAGCCCCAGCAGCACCACCTGTCCATCAGTGCCTCGTGCCAGTGCCCCATCAATGCCACATATCAGTGCCTACCAGTGCACATCAATGGCACATATCAGTGCCCATCTGAGCTGCCTTTCAGTGTCACCCATCAGTGCCGCCTAACAGTGCCATGTATCAGTGCTGCCTTTCAGTGCCCATCAGTGATGCCTGTCAATGCCCATCAGTGCCACCTACCAGTGCCTCCTCATCAGTGCAGCCTATCAGTGCCCATCACCGCAGCCTCATTAGTGCACATCAGTGAAGGAGAAAAATCACTTATTTAAAAATTTTATAACAAAAACTAAGAAAAACGTTTTTTTTTTTTTCCAAACTTTTCAGTGGTTTTTGGTTTAAGAAAAAAATAAAAAAAAACCCAGAGGTGATTAAATACCACCAAAATAAAACTCTATCTGTCACAAAAAAATGATAAAAATTTCATATGTGTACAATGTCGCAATTTTCATTTAAAGTGCAACAGCACTGAAAGCTGGAAATTGGCCTGGGCAGGAGGGGGGTATAAGTGCCCTGTAGGCTAGCGGTTAAAGGACAAAAGGTTTCTATGACCCTACAAAATTGTATATTGTCATTGTAAGCAGGTGGGACTGCTAAGAGACTTTTATATTTATTGCTTGTGAATGACACAAAGTCCATGTTTTTGCTTTTCATCCAGTATAAATAAGCTTAAAGCTAAATTGTTTGACATTACAATTCCTTGCTCCCCGGTAGCATACAGTTACGACCATAAATATTTGGACTCAATTTTAGTTTTGTTCAGGTATTCACCAAAACATATTCAATCTATAGTTATATAATGGATATGGGCTAAAAGTGCACACTCTCAGGTTTAATTTGAGAGTATGTACATACAAATTGGAGGAAGGGTTTAGGAATTACAGCTCTTAAGAGTAGCCATCATCCCTTTTTCAAGGGACCAAAAGTAATTGGACAATTGAATCAAAAGCTGTTTCATGGCCAGGTGTGGGCTACATCTTTGTTATTTCTTCATCAATTAAGCAGGTAAAAGGTCTGGAGTTAATTCTAAGTGTGGTATTTGCATTTGGAATCTATTGCTGTGAACCTACATCATGCGTTCAAAGGAGCTGTCCATGCAAGTGAAACAGGCCATTGTAACTACTGTTCTACGCGGCCGAGAGCGCGGAGTGATCTGTGAACCGTGTTACTGCCGAGGCGGAGTAATCTACCTGAGGAGGTGCGTTAGCACGTGGGCGTGCTGTTGAGTGTTCTCAGAGTCCTTTACATCTGCAGAGCGGCCTTTTCTTCTATGTGTGGAATACACTACCAGGTGACAGAGGGCTTTCCATGACCAGATCTGACCAGATCCATATGAGGACCTTGGAATATCAGCTTTGAATGCGCATTTGAATTGCGCATTTGGTGAGTGCGCAATTTTTACTTTTATCACCTCATCCACGAATCCAGGGATTGGAGCTCTTAAAGGACTCTCTTGGATTCTGAGCACGATATGGACTATATCCATCATTTAGTCACCGTTTTGCACTTTAATAGCACTTTTTACTGATTTATATTTATCAAGTATATAAGTATATTTATTCATTTAGTTAGCGCTGCACCTCTCCCTTGTATGCAGGCCATTGTAACGCTTCAAAAACAAAACAATCCATCAGAGAGATAGCAGTAACATTAGGAGTGGCCAAATCAACAGTTTGGTACATTCTGAGGAAAGAAGAACGCACTGCAGTGTTTAGAAATATACTGTCAGCCCAGATTCAGCCAAATGCAGCAAAGTTGATTGGACGGTACTTCACAGTACAGATGGACAATGACCCAAAACAAACTGCAAAAGCAACCCAGGAGCTTTTGAAGGAAAAGAAGTGGAATATTCTGCAATGGCCTAGTCAATCACCTGATCTCAACACAATTGAGCATGCATTTCATTTGCTGAAGGCAAAACTAAAGGCAGAAAGATCCAAAAACAAAGAACAACTGAATACAGCTACAGTTAGAGCCTGGCAAAGCATCAGAAAGGAGGAAACCCAGTCTTTGGTAATGTCCATGGGTTCAAGACTTCAGGCAGTCATTGCCAGTAAATGATTCTCAACAAAATATTAAAAATCAACATTTTATTTATGATTATATTCAATTGTCCAATTACTTTTGGTCCCTTGAAAAAGGGGGGATGGCTAATCTTAAGAGCTGTAATTCCTAAACCCTTCCTCCAATTTGGATGTACATACCCTCAAATTAAACCTGAGAGTGTGCACTTTCAGACCATATCTATTATATAACTATAGCTTGAATATGTTTTGGTCAATACCTGAAAAAAACTAAAATTGTGCCTGTGTCCAAATACAGTGGGGCAAAAAAGTATTTAGTCAGCCACCAATTGTGCAAGTTCTCCCACTTAAAAAGATGAGAGAGGCCTGTAATTGGCATCATAGGTAGACCTCAACTATGAGAGACAAAATGAGAAAAAAAAAATCCAGACAATCACATTGGCTGATTGGGAAAAAATGTATTTGCAAATTATGGTGGAAAATAAGTATTTGGTCACCTACAAACAAGCAAGATTTCTGGCTCTCACAGGCCTGTACCTTCTTCTTTAAGAGGCTCCTCTGTCCTGCACTTATTACCTGTATCAATGGCACTTATCAGTATAAAAGACACCTGTCCAAAACCTCAAACAGTCACACTCCAAACTCCACTATAGTGAAGACCAAAGAGCTGTCGAAGGACACCAGAAACACAAATTGTAGACTTGCACCAGGCTGGGAACACTGAATCTGCAATAGGCAAGCAGCTTGGTGTGAACAAATCAACTCTGGGAGCAATAATTAGAAAATGGAAGCCATACAAGACCACTGATAATCTCCTCGATCTGGGGCTCCACGCAAGATCTCACCCCGTGGGGTCAAAATGATCACAAGAACGGTGAGCAAAAATCCCAGGACCACATGGGGGGACCTAGTGAATGACCTGCAGAGGGCTGGGACCAACGTAACAAAGGCTACCATCAGTAACACACTACGCCACCAGGGACTCAGATCCTGCAGTGCCAGACGTGTCCCCCTGCTTAAGCCAGTACACGTCGGGCCCGTCTGAGGTTTGCTAGAGAGCATTTGGATGATCCAGAAGAGGATTGGGAGAATGTCATATGGTCAGATGAAACCAAAATAGAACTGTTTGGTAGAAACACAACTTGTCGTGTTTGGAGGAGAGAGAATGCTGAGTTGCATCCAAAGAACACCATACCTACTGTGAAGCATGGGGGTGGCAACATCATGCTTTGGGGCTTTTTTCTCCGCAAAGGGACCAGGACAACAGATCCATGTACAAGACAGAATGAATGGGGCCATGTATCGTGAGATTTTAAATGCAAACCTCCTTCCATCAGCAAGGGCATTGAAGATGAAACTTGGCTGGGTCTTCCAACATGACAATGATCCTAAACCTACCGCCCGGGCAATGAAGGAGTGGCTTCATAAGAAGCATTTCAAGGTCCTGGAGTGGCCTAGCCAGTCTCCAGATCTCAACCCCATAGAAAACCTGTAAAGGGAGTTGAAAGTCCATGTTGCCCAGCGACAGCCCCAAAACATCACTGCTCTAGAGGAGATCTGCATGGAGGAATGGGCCAACATACCAGCAACAGTGTGTGCCAACCTTGTGAAGACTTACAGGAAACGTTTCAGCTCTATCATTGCCAACAAAGGATATATAACAAAGTATTGAGATGAACTTTTGATATTGACCAAATACTTATTTTCCACCATAATTTGCAAATAAATTCTTTCCAAATCAGCCAATGTGATTGTCTGGATTTTTTTACTCATTTTGTCTCTCATAGTTGAGGTCTACTTATGATGCCAATTACAGGCCTCTATCATCTTTTTAAATGGGAGAACTTGCACAATTGGTGGCTGACTAAATACTTTTTTGCCCCACTGTATATAGGAAGCTAACTCTATACTTTTTCATTTATGTGTTGCTCCTTTCACCCAGTGTGAGCAAAGAAAGATAAGCCTGTGTGTGTGTGTGTATATATATATGTGTGTGTGTATATATATATATATATATATATATACATATACACAACTATCATTTGGATGAAAGCTACTAAATATCACCTTTTCTGGTGGCAATGCAGTGCAGTACAATGCAGTTATGCACAGTAGTCCAAATGCCCAGTTCCTTGGATTACAGGTAATGTATCTCTCCAGGCAGGCAAACTTGTAATTGAATCCAGATAACCCAGATCTAGTGTTCATCAAATCACACACTTAGGGGTTGCCTTTTTCCCATGAAAAGTTTGCTCTGTTTTGGAAGAGACGTAGTGATGTTCAGACCTGCCCACATTTTCACTGGGCACTGCTATTGGTTATGGTTCCATAGGAGGTTTTCAGAGTGTAATGATAGTGAATGAAAGATGAGCTTGTCTTTCCTGCTATCAAAATGCAAATACCATGGGAGTACACAGGACTTAATATTTGCAAGAAATATAAAACCCTAACCACTAGAAAACCCAGGTACAACCCTCCTGCTACCCAGCATTATGTTTAGCACTAATTTGTAGGTGTGCTTTACTTGTGATTTGTAACTCTGTCTTATTCCTTGCAGGCTCTCTAACTATTGAGGATTGTTTGGTTCCTATAGACCTTAAATTGGCTGAAGCGATCCATAAAAAGTGGAAACAATCAATAGCGGTTAGTTCCTATACAAAATGTTTGTAATATATTCTGTGTATAGTATAGTGGCATAAACTGCATTGGATTTCACTTGTCTATAGGTAAATTCTGAAATCCCAATTGCAGTGCTGTGGATTGGGGCTTTTACTGCTAAATGATACAGGTGTTTTCTCACTGCATGTCCATAATGTAGCCACAAACAACAGCAGGCATCAAGCAAGTACTAATCTGATCTCCTGCAGGTCCATTGACAGACGTTTAAGAAGTTGGCTTTCATTTTCTGTGAGCCATACCCACTAAATACTTTATTAATAACTCTAAATGCATTAAATCTGCTAACTAACCAGGTATCTGTTCACATCATTTTCATTAGAGGTATATGGAGAATAAGCAGTTGTGAGCTGGTAACAGCCATGGAAAACTTTAAGAGTCATCCTATTGACCTCCTGAAAACAATACACTTATAAAGCACCTGCATTTTTACTGTCACAGTGTTTTTCAATTTAAATTTGAGCAGTGAACAGTTGGCAGGCTGTTGAGCTGTGTCCTCATTGACATCATCCATGAGTACTTTGAAGAGTGGAGTTGAGCTACAGTGATCAGGAAGTGTTAAAATTCCATGAAAATTGACCTCTGTTGGGACAACTCTGGCATTTTAGCACAATCTTTGATAGTCAATCTGGAAATAGTTTATTTCAGTATGGTATACCCTCACCCCTGAGGAAGAATAAGAAAAGAAAAATTTTAAATGAGCTGGGTTACCTAGTAAATGGACTTCTAGATGATCACATATAGAGTGGTTACATGGTATAAACCCAATCTGGGTTAGAGTGGGATTACCACATATGGAAAATATAATATCATTCAGCCAGGCATGTTTTGGAACCTGTCATACAGCCTATGATATGTTTTTATGGCTTACATTTATACATTTTATATTTGTATATAATAAAGTGAAGATTTTTAGATAATCGGTTTGGCTGTGTTTTAGAGGTTAATTTGCATGAAATGTTAATATTATAGGAATGGTGGCAACCTGTGTCCACAACAGAAATCCATTTATTATTTTAATCCAGAAAGTATTTTGCCTATTCAGTTACATTTTAGTACACAAATAGAACATTGTTTATCCATAATTATTAAGAAAAACGATATTTCCCCACTTCATCCTTTCCACTATTTACCCATTCAGTGAAAGGGAATTTTAACTGTTATATTTTAAGTGACATATGTCACAATTATAATATACTGTACAAATATCTGTAGTGGGTCATAATTAACATAATTTTAATGCTATATACACAATAAAAATGCCTATAATTCCAAAACATGAAATTAAACACATATGCTTTAGTCTTTATTAAAAACCCAATAACCCTACAACAGTAAAATAAATAGCATTTTAGGTTACATTTACAGTAGTTACATTCCAGTGCTACACTGTAACATTCCAAACTTTCATTTATATATAACATCTGTGACTAGGTGCAAGTGAAGTATTTGTTTTCGCTATCCTGCTATGGAATTGTTTTGGCTTTAAGATACTTGATCTCATGCACTGCTACATTAACTCCCTGTCACAATGATGGTCCTTGCATATCTGTCAGTGGACGTAGGTAAATACTTTTACCCTCTAGAGGTGATGTCACCAGTGCACATTGGGGATTCTTTCCCTTTTTGAACACAAGAGGGTCAACATGCCTTGCCTTGCATTCATATTTGGTTCTTTTGGTACTGGCTTTTTGGTGCTGCACACTTTTGGTGTGGAATTGCTTGTCATCAGATCAGATGTTCCCAGGTTACGATACGGTTACTTTGCAAAATAGGAAAGTGAAATAGTGGTTAGGCTAGCTTTGGGTTAATTTAAAGGGTTAGATTGTTATTGTTGGGCTCAATTTGGGGGTTAGGTAGTTCTCTAAAGTACCACTTTAAAGGAGTGGGGGTTCTTTAGTGTTGAGGGATTTATTGTTCATTATCTAACATGCTAGACAGCCACAAAATGCAGTATTTTAAAAACACCCAGAGCTTATCAAAAACTACTAGTGCCAGGCTCCTAGTGCTGAGAGCGAAGTCATTGCCCTGCAATGATAAGAATACTTATCAATCATAAAGTTAGGGGGCAGACTCTTTGTCATGATTTTCAACCCATTTACTCTATGATGCAATAGTGTTTTATTTTAGCAATAGTCCTTTCTTTAATGGGGTGTTTTTATTTTGATGCTGGTAAATAATTTGAATGGAATGTATTTGAAAATTATATCTTCTGCATTATAGGTATCATTTTTGAAATGCAAAACATTCAAATATTACAGACAACAAATAAGTATACAATGAAATTGGGAATCAAAAAAGCAGAAAGTATACTATGTACAATGTACTGTGCAGGGTCACACCATAAGCCTTAATGGAAAAAGTAATCTCCCTGCTAGCCTGTTAGTATTGCCTACAACTAACTAGATCAGATTCAGACCTGCACTGTAAAAGGGAAGTTAGAAAATATAAATTTGAATCTGCATGTTCACTGTTAGACAGTACAAACGCTCTATGATGTTTTTTTTAGGATGATGGGTTTTGTAGCATTTTAGTTGTTTGTGTTTTTAAGTGCTTAATTTATTTTATTCCTCAGGAAAGGCATAACCAAGAAGCATTATCCTATCAACTTCTGTTCGAAGGTATTCATATTTTATTTTGAACATTCATGTATAGTAGGTCTCACTTTATTAGTAAAGACTGGTTGATGTACTAAACTGGAGAGTGCAAAATCTGGTACAGCTGTGCATGGTAGCCACTCAGTTCACCTTTTATATAAAAAAATAGTAAATCTACATCTTTTTGCAGGTAAAAAAAATTTGCTTTTATTATTTTTTTTTTTACACTGAAATCTGTAAAGCATTGTACCCGCCATCAGCAGATTGCGGGTGCAATGTAAGGATCCTTCAGACTCTCTGTTCATTGCCTGCATGTACCTTCTGTACTGGCAGGCTGTTAATGAATTGCAGGAAAAATCAATGAACTACACGGTTAATTGGTTATTAGAAGCTGTTAGACGCAGTGGCCAACAGTACTTGTAGTCTATTTATTCACAGAACTCTGTGAATGAATGATGTGGCAGTGTGGGGGTGGAACCCCGCTCAGCAATGCTGTTTTGTTAGTTGTGATTGCACGTGCGGGGGAAAGGCTCCCACAAGCTCCCCTCCTCTGTGATCTCTGGGGGGGGGGGGGGGGGGGGGGGCGGGAGAGGAGGCAGGAGCTTGAACTTGTTACATGTGCCACCCTAAATACTAAAGTGTTCCAAAGGTGAACTTAGCCTTTATAGCATTTTGTAAAGGTCACATTAGGCTCTTTGCTTGCACTCTTCATGTGAATTTATACTTAAAAGCACTAGTAGTAAACTCTGCTCAAAAAGAAAAAAAAAAAGCCCCCTGGGTGTTTTAAACTATTTTGTGCTAGTATGCACTGCATCATAGCACATTATATAGACTTACCTGTCAAAGGAAGCCCTCTAGTGCTGCAATGTCAGTGCTCAGGCGCTGCCATCTTCACCCAGTCTTCCTACCGAGTTCTGTCTGTTTTGGCCTATTGAATGGCTAGGCCGTGATGACATCACTTCCGTGCATGCCTACGGGCGTCACATCACAAGTTGGGTGCCATACTCGTTGACTGAGGCTGCACACGCACGGCTCCGTGAACATGGCAGCTGACAGGCAGGAGGAACCTTTTAAGGCGGGAGAGACTGATGGGGTCTCTTCTGTCATAAAATCATACATTATTAGCAAATGTTAAATAAATGGGTTTAATACCACTTTAAAGCTGAACTTTGGACACATAGCCAAATACACAAATGAAATGCATAAGCGAGAGCTGTTAAAACTGTCAAAGGATTTATATTGCGGCCAATCAAGTCCCGGATATTATACTGCTGTGCTTTACAGCACAACCCTGTCTAGCAGGTGGGGGGAGGGGGGCATGATCGTAATCTGCAGGTTTACTTTTACTTATAGATCTCCTCTCCACCCTCCCCCCATAATTGAACAGTGAAAGGGGAAGCAACAAACTGATGAGTTAATGTTTGTTAGTCTGCTTTCTCCTCCTTTCACATGGTCATTGTTCTGTAACACACCTGATTAGCTCCTTGTGCTGCTTCTCCCTCCCCTTCTCTAAGGTCTGCTGCACAGACTATACAGTAGACTGCAAGAGGCTGATACCAAGTCCGAATCAGGCACTAAAAACTGTAACTGTCAACAGTTGACATATTTTTGCTTTTAATATCTGCCTATAGTTCAGCCTTAATTCTACTTTTGTAAAGTAGCAGTGCTAAGCCTTAGACCTGGTAATCTGCATTGTTACGGTTTTTCATAGTTGAAGTCCTGATGGTGTAATCATGATTTACAAATTAAACCGCTTGTTTTTTGGCAGACTTTTCAACCAATGACCAAATACATCTGGACAGTCTTCTTCAGGAACAGGAGTCTAGGTTGGCTGGCAAAGATTTCGTTGTTTCCCAGGAAGGAACAGATATGTTCCCTATCATGGACCAGTGGAATACCAGAATAAAGAAAGTTTCACTGCGACAGATTATGTCAGAAGAAATGGCATTACAGGCCCGGGAAGATATGGTATGGGGATTTAAGAATACATCTTCTCAAATACTAATATTTTTGATTGATGTTGTGGAGTTTTTGTATATCAAGCTATTTTTTTTTATAGCTTTGGTAAAGTATATGGTAATGTTTGCTGTGTCCCGCTTAACATATTTCCATTTTTCTTAATGTCCTGGAGATCCAAAATAAAGGGAATTCCCACCCGCCAGTGACTATTTGTTTTTCATATTAGAACTACATCTACCCCATAAGCTTAGGGCAGGGCTCAACAAATACCAGGTGCCAGGTCACCATGGTGACTACAAGTTGCGTCCTGGTGCCTGGGTTTCACACTCTGCTTCCTAAATTACTTCAATGGGAAATCGCACCCCTTAGACTTCAATGGGAAATTGCGCCCTATAGACTTTTTGGGAAATCACGCCCTATAGACTTCAATGGGAAATCGTGACCGATAGACTTCAATGGGAAATCACCCTCCCATAGACTTCAATGGGAAATTGCCCTCCCATAGATTTCAATGGGAAATTGCCCTCCCATAGAATTCAATGGGAAATTGCCCTCCCTTAGAATTCAGTTGGAAAATGCACCCCCATAGACTTCAGTGGGAAAACGCCTCCCATAGAATGTAGTGGGAAACCGCCTCCCATAGACTGTAGTGGGAAAACTTCTCCCATAGACTGTAGTGGGAAAACTCCTCCCATAGACTGTAGTGGGGGAAAACCGCCTCCCATAGACTGTAGTGGGAAAACTCCTCCCATAGAATGTAGTGTGAAAACTCCTCCTCCATAGACTGTAGTGGGAAAACGCCTCCCATAGACTGTAGTGGGAAAAGCCTCCCATAGACTGTAGTGGGAAAACGCCTCCCATAGACTGTAGTGGGAAACCGCCTCCCATAGACTGTAGTGGGAAACCGCCTCCCATAGACTGTACTGGGAAACCGCCTCCCATAGACTGTAGTGGGAAACCGCCTCCCATAGACTTTAGTGGGAAAACGCCTCCCATAGACTTTAGTGGGAAAACGCCTCCCATAGACTGTAGTGAGAAAACGCCTCCCATAGACTGTAGTGGGAAAACGCCTCCCATGGACTGTAGTGGGAAAACGCCTCCCATAGACTGTAGTGAGAAAACGCCTCCCACTGTAGTGAGAAAAAACTGTAGTGGGAAAAACGCCTCCCATAGACTTTAGTGGGAAAACGCCTCCCATAGACTTTAGTGGGGAACCGCCTCCCTTAGACTTTAGTGGGGAACCGCCTCCCTTATACTTTAGTGGGGAACCGCCTCCCATAGACTTTAGTGGGAAACCGCCTCCCATAGACTTTAGTGGGAAAACCGCCTCCCATAGACTGTAGTGGGAAACCGCCTCCCATAGACTTTAGTGGGAATACGCCTCCCATAGACTTTAGTGGGAAAACGCCTCCAATAGACTTTAGTGGGAAACCGCCTCCCATAGACTGTAGTGGGAAACCGCCTCCCATAGACTGTAGTGGGAAACCGCCTCTCATAGACTGTAGTGGGAAACCGCCTCCTATAGACTTTAGTGGGAAACCGCCTCCCATAGACTGTAGTGGGAAACCGCCTCCCATAGACTTTAGTGGGAAACCGCCTCCCATAGACTTTAGTGGGAAAACGCCTCCCATAGACTTTAGTGGGAAAACGCCTCCCATAGACTTTAGTGGGAAAACGCCTCCCATAGACTTTAGTGGGAAAACGCCTCCCATAGACTTTAGTGGGAAAACGCCTCCCATAGACTTCAGTGGAAAAAGGCTCCCCATAGACTTCAGTGGGAACAATCCTGTCAAAAACTTATCTCCGCATACCACTCTATCATTTTTGCGTCTGCAACACACCGCTACAAACTTGCACAGGACCCTTTTCATAATGTCACAATGTGTGTGGATTTCATCCTGTCGCAGCCTGTCATGCGAATCTGTGAGTTTCAAAATGAATCCAGAATCACCTATGTGCAAACCAGGGCCACACCCGCTGCAGCCATTACAAAGTGGTTCTACTCTCACTGCTTGATTGAATTAGTTTAACCACTTGCCCTCCAGAGGATTTACCCCCCTTCCTGACCAGGCCATTTTTTGCGATACGGCGCTGCGTTACTTTAACTGACAATTGCGCGGTCATGCAACGCTGCACCCAAATGAAATTTACTTCGTTTTTTCCCCACAAACAGAGTATTCTTTTGGTGGTATTTGATCTCCTCTGCGTTGTTTATTTTTTGCACTATAAAGAAAAAAAGATTGATAATTTTGATAAAAACCCTATATTTTTTACTTTTTGCTATTAAACGTCCAGTAAAAATTAAAAAAAAAAATCAAATTTTGCCATAAATTTAGGCCAAAATGTATTGCTACACATCTTTGCTAAAAAAAAATCCCAATATGTGTAAATTAATTGGTTTATGTGAAAGTTATAGCGTTTACAAATGGCTTTATATATACTGGAATTTTTTTTTTTTTTTTTTTACTAGTAATGGTGGTGATCAGCAACTTATAGCAGGACTACGGCGGGCATTCTGACACGGGGGGGGAACTGACTTGGTGTCACTGACATTCCCAGTGACACCAATACAGTAATCAGTGCTAATAAAAAGCACTGACACTGTACTAATGGCACTGGTTAGGAAGAGGATAACGTGGGGCGATCAAAGGGTTAACTGTGTGCTGTTTTAGTTTGTACTGTGTGTGTGCTTTACACTGTAAGCACACTGCTTTGTATGGCTCTGCATAGTGTCAGAATGCCTACCGCAGTCCCGCTATAAGTTTCTGATCGCCACCATTACTAGTAGAGAAAAAAAAAATTCCAGTCTGTATACCGCCATGACGGGAGATATACCCTTGACAGGGGAGAGATGTGTGTTGTTTATACACAGGTCTCAACCCCGTTGGTGATACTCGGCGATCTCCGGGTGCAGGCGGGGAATTACCGGCCAGGACCCAGTGATTGACAGCCAAGGCTGCAAATGGCAGCATGGGTAGGGCGCACGTGCCCCCTACCCGGAACTGCAAAAGCGCGTGTATATATACGTGATTTTGTGCACCCGCTTCACCCTGAAGCAGTTTTTCTGCTATAGGTCGGTGTGGAAGCAGTTAAAGGCTTAGAAACATTCCTACCTGCACTTTGTGTTTTTCATCTGCATCAGATGAGCTTTGATAGTGTAGTCTCCTTTGTTGCCCTTTGTTGCCCTTGTATGCACAGTCTATAGTAAAGTAAATGTTCACATTCCTGTGTCAGCAGTTTCTGTTGTGTTTAAAGCGGTGTTAAACGCAAAATCAAAAATGTAATATACTGCAGCTTGCTAATCCTGAGATGTGGTACCTGCATTCGTTCTTCTTTTTTAGGCTTTTTTTTTCATGATGATCTGGCCAGTAACATATCTTCTGTATTAGAGTGCCCCCACTCTGGATGAATGAGCGTAGGGGGCACCTTTGGAGAACAGCAGTGTCAGTGGGGGGGGGGGGGGGGGGAGGTTTTAGATGTACTAGCAAATTTGGATACACTAACAAATATAAGCCAAATTCCAGTTCACTATTCAGTTACACAAGCAGTTACAGTTTTTTTGTCTTTTGAGATAAAAATTTTAATAAACAAATAAAATCTGATGATTGCAAGCACCTATGTCACTGGTAAATGGCTTCTCTCAACACTCTTAACTGATACATTTGCAGGAGAGTTTGTTCTGTTAAAAAAAACAACTGATTTCTTGGCTGGATCACCAGGTGAAAATAAAAGAAAGCAAGTCTAAAAAAAAGAAAACAGATAAAGCCATTACATCTGAGAATTTGTAAGCTGCAATATAAAAAAATTTTTGCTTTTTGGTTTAATACTACTTTAAACATGAGGCATGTCACATCGCACTATACAAGTTAATGCTAGATTGTAAGCTCCAGCGATCAGGGTCCTCTGTTTCCTCTTGTACCAAATTGTATTGTAACTGTAATGTCTACCTTCGTTTTGTAAAGCGCTGTGCAAACTGTTGGTGCTATATAAATCCTGTACAATAATAATGCATGAGCCCTGTCTGTAGTGTGACCCCTAACCTTTCCTGTGAAGAAACTACATATACCACAATCCTTGGGTCTAGTGCTGGTGCAATTGACATAGACACAAAATGGTAAATGGTGGGTCATGCCTAAAGGTCAGCTTTAGAATGTTAAAATAATCTATTTTTCTTACTGTAGAAGAAACCTTCCTCATTGACAAACTGCGCTGTGAAAATGAAGGAGAAACAACTTTTGGAACTGTTTCCTAATCTAGAGCAAAATCTGCTTATGGATATTTTTAAAGAAAACAAGTAAGGAAGGTTAATTTTCTTGAATGTAAGTTATTAAATTCTGACATTAAGGCCGATATTGAATTACAGTTGCTGCTACATGCATCACACAAAGCTTGTCGCCAAAAAGGAGCAAGAGCTTCTTTTGGATGACAGCTTTGCCCGATACATTTTGACACAATTGCAGCACGATTCTTTTGCGCAGTAATCGTGACACAATCGCATGGCGTTTAGAGTGCCATTAAGTATGCATAATCCTCAAATGAGCGTGGTGCGTTTTGCCACGATTGCAGTGTGATTTGGAATTGAAATTCACAATTGCAAAGTTTGAATGCAACCTAAGCTTGTGTACACACTGGTCCTGTGCAGTTCTGTTCAGCTGATTTGCAGTGCATTTAAGAGCTTGTTCACACATGTAGTATCCCTAATTGCACGCCCGCTGGTATGGTTTGGAAGGGCAAGTGTCCATCCCAGCGCATAAGTCACATTTATTTAAGTTCTGTTCACATTGCATAGTGGTAGTTTGCATTGCAGCCTGCAGCTGTGCAAAAAAAGTGCTGTGTGCAGTACTTTTTCTTAATTATATAGTACAGGACACTTTTTAGGTCTTGACTATGGGTTATATGCTGCTACCTTCAGATGAGGACACTGGCAAACAAAGCTGTTAGGGCATCCCAAAAAAAAAAAAAAAAATTCCCCTTGTAGTTTTTTCCTTGGTAGGTGCCTGTTTCCTGGTGTAGTAAGTCTAGGACTTCCCCCTTCCTATCCACATTCTCAGGAGAGGGTCATTCGTCTATCCCTGCTGTGCTGCAAGAGCAACTGGCAAGGGTTCAGTCGGAAAAAGCCACAGCTGCTGCTTACATTACTCATCAGGGCAGCATCAGATATCCACATGGCTCTTCAAGAAGCAGACATAATTATGGTTTGAGCCAAAAGTAATGGTCCGCCTTATCTGTAGTTCACATTCCTGGGATAGACACTGCAGCAGAATGGTGTTCTGGAACATTTGTCACCACTTTGGGAAGCCGGATGTAGATCTTCTGGCATCCTACTTCAGCAACAAGTTATACAGATTTGTGACCAGGATCAGAGATCCAAAGACCTTTGCAATGGATGCACTGGGGACCACATTGTAAGTTCTGGCTAATATACATCTTTCCTCCACTACAGATTCTCCCTCGGCTGGGTCACAGAATCACGATAGAGGACATTAAGATAATCTCAGTAGCACCAAACTTTGTATTCTGACATCCTGCAACTCCTGGGAGACACTCTGTGGGCACTTCCAGACCAGCCAAACATGCTGTCTCAGAAAGACTGGTCTAGCATCCTGCTTCACGGCCACTGGCTTTAACAGCTTGGCTGTTGAAATCCAAGTACTGAAAGATCAGGGTCTCTCTCACTCCTATTTCTGTGTTTCTTAAGGCTAGGAAATCTACCTTTTGCAAGGTCTATCTGTGCACTTGGAAGACTTATTTTACATAGTGCAAAGCACAGGAGTTTTATTCTGGTTACTCTGTGGGACATATTCCTGTCCTTTCTCCAGTCTAGATTGGAGCAGTATTTTAGCAACCTGAAGGGTCAAGTCTCAGCAGTAGTGATTCTCTTTCAGAGACCACTAGTCACTCATTCTTTGGTTAAAGGCCTTTGGTGGCAAGTGGTGGCTCCCCCTGCTTCTTCACTTGTTTTCACCTTGGAATGTTGATTTGGTCCTGTTGGCTTTACTAAAGTCTCTCTTTGGCCCAATTCAGAATTTTCCTTTGACTAACCTTACTTGTAAGGTAGTTGTGGATATCACTTCCGAGAGATGGGTTTCAGAACTGGTGGCCTTATCCTATAAGCATCTCTTCCTCATTCTTGAATGAAAAGAACACTTGCCTATGAGAGCATGGGGGGGGGGGGGGGGGGGGTGTTTGCTTCTGACAAGGTGGTTTTGAGGCGCCGGGACTCCTTCCTCCCTAAGGTGGTTTCCTCCTTCCACCTTAATCAGGACATTATCCTACCCTCCCTGTGCCCTGCTACTACACACTCCAAAGAGTTATCCTACATTGTTTATGCCCCCACCTGAACGTCACATAGTCTGTCTAGCCTGCAGGCTCAAAAAGGACTGCCTCAAAAGGACTGTCCTTCATCTTGTTCCACCATATCTAGGTTGGTTAGGCAGGTTATCACTAAGGCTAACACCTTGAGAAGTAGGACTCTTTTATTCCTTGTTAAGCTAACTTGATTTTTCTATCAGTCAGTGCCTCTTGGACTTCTCAGGACCAGGCATCTGTATCTCCGATTTGCAAGGCCACCACCTGTCCCTCTGTTCACATCTTTTTTTCAAAATGGATGTTAATGTTCAGGCCTCTGCAGGTGCCAGTTTTGTTTGTAAGGTAGTTTAAACCACAAAGTTGAGAACCTGTTTTTTTTGTTTGGGCATGTTGACATTGTTTGCTATATTGCCTCTGGTTGTATTGTTTGAGAACATCTTATGGTCAAGACTTAATGGAGCCTGTCTTGTACTATACAATTAAGAAATAGGGATTTTAACTTAGACCAAACAGTGTGGAGCTAAAATAACTAAGAAACCTAAGTGAAAAAAGTGCAGCAACAAACAATTACACAAAATTAAAATTTCTTGGTATACCTTCATTTACTGTAAATGCACATTGTTCAAAAGTGGTAGCGTATGAAAAATTTATAAAAATTCATAAGTAATCTTCCGAATTAAAGTGGTTGTACACTTCATATGCATTATTTCTCAAACACATGCCCCATTTAATATTTTGTTCAGTAACAATCCAAAAGCGCTGTATATTTATCTCTGTATTTTCATCTCTAAGCCTGTCACAGCTCTCTGAAAAAATCTCCGCTTCATGGGCATGTCTATGGACCAGAGCATGGGAGGCGGAGTCATGACATCACTGTCCCCACCTCCAAGATGAACACTCGCACAGTAGCACCAGCTTAGCAGAGCGCACAGTGCTAGAAGTGTTCACGCACGTTCAATGCCCGCTGGGAAGTGGTGTGTACAGCTGGGGGGTGGGGATGCCCACAGATCGGAGATTTTCAGAGAGCAATGACAGGCTTAGAGATGAAAAATAATTAATAGAGGTAAAAATACAGTGCTTTGGATTTTTATTAAATAAACTATGCAATGGTTCATGTGTTTGAGAAATGATGCATATGAAGTTAACAACCACTTGAAACTAAACAAACCTCCATCCAGGCTGAGGCAGGAGGAGACACACTCCCTTCACTCAAGCTTGTGCGTGAGTCTCCTTTGCATGTATTTCAATCAAAGGAGAGGAGGCATGGCTACAACTTTTTTTTTGCATGTGTCAGTTTTTTTTTCCTGTAGTAAAGCTGGGAGGATTACAGATGACATGCTGCTTGTTTCCCTGCCAGAATGAGTTGTGCTGTTTTGCTGAGTTAGCTAAAATGTTTGGTTTAATTTTTGTAATCTGGGTTTACAATCACTGTAATGATTGTGTATAAAGTGCAAACACTGAATGCTTTGACAATCATATAAACCCTTAAAATTAATATAAAAGCATACTGAATAAATGTGCTGACGTACACTAAAGATAGTAAATGGAAGTGTGCAAATGGTCTTTTCAAATTAATACCAATATATAAAGTGCAAAAGTCCATACAGTTAGATCCATATATATGTGGACACAGGCACAATTTTAGGTTTTTTTTTCAGGTATTTACTAAAACATATTCAAGCTATAGTTATATAATGGATGTGGGCTGAAAGTGCACACTCTCAGGTTTAATTTGAGGGTATGTACGTCCAAATTGGAGGAAGGGTTTAGGAATTATAGCTCTTAAGAGTAGCCATCCCCCCTTTTTTTTCAAGGGACCAAAAGTAATTGGACAATTGACTATAATCAAAAATAAAATGTTTAATTTTTAATATTTTGTTGAGAATCCTTTACTGGCAATGACTGCCTGAAGTCTGGAACCCATGGACATTACCAAAGACTGGGTTTCCTCCTTTCTGATGCTTTGCCAGGCTCTAGCTGCAGCTGTCTTCAGTTGTTCTTTGTGGGTCTTTCTGCCTTTAGTTTTGCCTTCAGCAAGTGAAATGCATGCTCATTTGGGTTGAGATCAGGTGACTGACTCGGTCATTGCAGAATATTCCACTTCTTTTTCTTCAAAAGCTCCTGGGTTGCTTTTGCAATGTATTTTGGATCATTGTCCATCTGTACTGTGAAGCGCCGTCCAATCAACTTTGCTGCATATGGCTGAATCTGGGCTGACAGTTTATCTCTAAACACTGCAGAATTCATCCGGCTGCTTCTATCTTCTGTCTTATCATCAATAAACAACCAATGACCCAGTGCCACTGGAAGCCAAGCATGCCCATGCCATTACTGCCTCCACCATGTTCTACAGATGACGTTGTGTGCTTGGATCATGAGCTGTTCCAAGCCTTCTCTACACTTTTTTCTTCCCATAATTCTGGTACAGATTAATCTTAATTTCATCCGTCCAAAGAATGCTTGTCCAGAACTGGTCTGGCTTTTTTTAGATGTTTTTAGGCAAAGTCTAATCTGACGTTCTATTCTTCAGGCTTATGAATGGTTTGCACCTTGTGGTAAACCCTCTGTATTTGCTCTCGTGAAGTCTTCTCTTGATTGTAGACTTTGACAATGATACACCCACCTCCTGGAGAGTGTCCTTCACTTGTCTGGATGTTGTGAATAGATTTTTTCTTTACCATAGACAGGAACCTGCGATCATCCGCCGCTGTTGTCTTCTGTGGACGTCCATGCCTTTTTTATGTTGCTGAGCTCACCAGTGCGTTCTTCTTTCCTCAGAATGTACCAAACTGTTGATGTGGCCTCTCCTAATGTTGCTGATATCTCTCTGATGGATGTTTTTTGTTTTTTGAAGCCTTACAATGGCCAGTTTCACTTGCATAGACAGCTCCTTTGAACGTATGATGTAGGTTCACAGAAATATTTTCCAAATGCAAATACCACACTTAGAATCAACTTCAGACCTTTTACCTGCTTAACTGATCAAGAAATAATGGAGTAGCCCACACCTGGCAATGAAACAGCTCTTGATTCAATTGTCCAATTACTTTTGGTCCCTTGAAAAGGGGGGGGGGGTGGCTACTCTTAAGAGCTGTAATTCCTAAACCCTTCCTCCAATTTTGGATGTACATACCCTCAAATGAAACTTGAAAGTGTAAACTGTCAGTCCATATCCATTATATAACTATAGCTTGAATATGTTTTGGTAAATACCTAAAAAAAACTAAAATTTGTCTGTGTCCAGTGCAGTGCAATCAATTTAACCCCTAAAGCATAGAATCAATGGATTCTAATATAATACACATATCCATAAGGTGCTCAAAGAGTGCATCAACTTTAAACATGAGTGCCGATCTCTTGTGTACACCATCTATTAGACAAACCCCATCTTTTGTGGACAAAAATTGAATTATTCCAGGTTACAGTGAAATAATAAAAAATGTAATATAAATAAAAATAAATTATGTGTACTGCACTGCATTTTCATGCATTTATATGCATTTGCATGCATTTCTGTACAGTTTCAGTCAAAAATGCTTCCAACTGCCACTGGTGTGAATGGGTCCTAACTGAACAAGCTAAAGCTAGAAGCTGGTTGATTACTATGCAAATAAGTAAATCCCCCCTATGGTTTTGCTAGTATGCATGTACTTGCTTTCATTTGAATTAAAAAAAAAAAAAACAACTTTTTAGTTCTGCAAGTAAATAGCTCTAAATGTTGTATTAGGACTGAATTTCAATTACATTGAAATTAATTTTCCAATTAAGCTAAAGCTGCATTAGTTTGTTTAGTTAAAGTATAAATAAAGGCAAAACTTTTTTTTTTTTAGTTTTGGACTGTGGAGTGAAAATGGATTGGAGCACTTATTAGGTCTTTATTGCTGTCTGTGCCCCTTTTAGGAAGATTCACCCTCTCTTTGTCCTGTTTCCCATTATCATCGAAATGAAAGCAAATACAACCCCACATTTTGGGTTGTCCCCCAGAAAAGTAATACAGGGGAAATTTTCCATTGGGGACACTAGTTCAGGTGACCTGGAGGTCCCTAAGGAATTTCCTTAATTTGCGGGGATTATCTCTCACTTCCTGTTTTGGCTGTGGGACATAAAGTGAAGATAAATCTCCCCAATGGGACACAGATGACAAAATATGAACTGACAGGGGCTATAACTCTCCCTTACACTATCCAAAATAGAAAAACATTTTGCCTATAGTTCTACTTTAATTTACAGTATTTAAATATATTTTAAAGGAAATTTGTCCTGAGATATACAGAGGCTGCAATTACTGACCTCCAAAAATGTTGGTTGCCTCTCTCTCTGTACTTTTTCAGTATCTTTGAAAAGCATGCAGAGCAAGTCAGATTGAGGTGATACTAATCTGCTTATTTGTTCCACATCACTAACAGAGAAAGTTTTGAAGCCATTGGATAGCATAGCAGTCAGACAAATAGCATTTTCAGAAGCAGTCAACAGTGCATTTCCAATACTTCACAGCAAATATGCTTGACTTTCTAAGATTTATTTGGGATTGGCCATTATTTAGCAGAATTCTTGAAGATGTTCTTAAATGAGTAAAATACATGTTAAAAAAATGAAAAAGTAACTGACCCCATTGATAAAAACTGCTTTATGTGCATTTTGCAGTTATTCTTTAGAGAAGACAGAAGAATTCATCAGCTCAGCACTAGAATCTGATCCTGTGCAGAATGTTGTGGCTCAAGGATTTAAACAGGAGCTGCCCTCATCAACTGACAGAATGAAGGAAAAGGTACTTTCACTTTATTAGAGTATAAAGAAATGGAATCCAGTATGTTCTCTGGCGACATATTCTCATTGGGGTTGATTAATTAAAGGGGTTGATTATTAAATGATTTATTGCAAATTTTATTTTAACATTAAACAGTTATTGTGTACTTAGCTTAGAAAAAAAGGTGAAGCTCTGTTTATTTATTACGTAGCGCCGTCAATTTATGCAGCGCTTTACACATATATATTGCACATTCACATCAGTTCCCTGCCTTCAAGGAGCGTACAATCTAAGGTCCCCAACTCACATGCATACATACACATACTAGGGTCAGTTTTAGACAGGAATCAATGAACCTACCAGCATGTCTGGGGAGTTGGAGGAAATCGGAGTACCCGGAGGAAACCCACACAGGCACAGGCAGTGGTTGGGATTGTTATCCAGTCATGTGCTAACAAACTCCTGTTTTTGTTGGATTTGTTTGTTTTTGTTGGAGTGTGTTTTAACTTTCCTTAACTGCTTCCCGACCACCCTAGAGCAGAAATACTGCTACAGGGCCGTATAGGTATATATACGTGGTTTTGCATTTCCGGGTACAGGGTGCGCGCGCGCCCTACATGCTCCGCCATTCGCGGCCGCAGCTGTCAATCACCGGGTCCTGACCAGTGAATACTCGCCGGTGCCCTGTGATTGCCGAGCCTCTCCGACAGGGAGAAGAACTGTTAATTAACAAAGCAGTTCCCCTCCCTGTCAGCTCCGCTACACTGCTTTGGATGGCTGTGCAGAACACAGCCATCCAAAGCAGTGTGCTTACAGTGAAGCACACGGACACAGCACTTAGTAAAACAGCACACAGCTAACCCTTTGATTGCCCATCATCTTAACCCCTTCCTGCCCAGTGTCATTAGTACAGTGTCAGTGCTTTTTTTTAGCACTGATCACTATTGCTGTCACTGGGGATGTCAGTGACACCAAGTCAGTTCCCCCCCAGTGTCCGAATGCCCGCCGCAGTCCCGCCATAAGTCGCTGATCGCCAGCATTACTAGTAAAAATAAAAAAATCCTAGCATATATACTGCCATTTGTAAACGCTATAACTTTCATGTAAACCAATTAATTTACACGTATTGGGATTTTTTTTTAGCAAAGACATGGAGCAGAATACATTTTGGCTTAAATTTATGACGAAATTAAATTTTTTAAAATTTTTTTACTAGACATGTTTAATAGCAAAAATATTGTTTTTTTCTCAAAATTGTTGGTCTTTTTTTTATATAGTGCAAAAAATAAAAAATGCACAGGCGATCAAATACCACCGAAAGAAAGCTCAATTTGTGGGAAACAAAGGACGTAAATTTCATGTGGGTGCAGCGTTGCATGACCGTGCAATTGTCAGTTAAAGTAACGCAGTGCCATATCGCAAAAAAAATGTCCTGGTTCGGGAAGGGGGGTAAATCCTCAGGAGGGCAAGTGGTTAATTGTACAAAGTGAGCACAGCTTCATCCCCGGTGAGAAGCTTTGAAGGGAGCCGTATGGTTTTTCTTGATAGGAATTTTCCTATTCTGGCATATATATTTTTTCTGTTCTGAAATTCACTTCAGAAATAAAAATACTATTTGATAAAATAACTGAAACAGGTTTTATTTTAGAAAACCAGACTTTTAAGACATGAAATGTACGTAACTGAAAATGTCACACCACAGATCAAGTCATCGGTGATCTATATTTGATTTGACCCATTAAAAAATAGCCCTAAAATGTCATCATGCACACATGTAACTTACCACAAGGATTGTGCAATCATGTATGCAAAGTAAGGGGAAAAACAAAAAATTGCTTTTAGCAAAAACATAATAAAGTATATATTTAAAGTGATTCTAAACTCTAAAGCAGTGGTTCTCAACCTGGGGGTCGCGACCCCTTTGGGGGTCGAACGACCATTTCCCAGGGGTCGCCTAAGACCATCGGAAAACACATATTTCCGATGATCTTAGGAACCGAGACACCGCTCCTCTGACTCAGTCGATGTGTGGGCGGGATGACACGCTGCCCTGTCACCTGGCCACACCTCCGGGATCCCTCAACAACTCCGCCTCCTCGCCGCTGATTGGCCACCGGAACTGTAGCTCAGGAGAGGCACACAGGCGGCCAATCACCGGCGAGGAGGTGGAGCTTGGAGAGGAGGAGCCGAGCGGCAGCGCGCGTAGAGAAGATCGAGGGAACTGCCGGAGTAAGTGAAGAGGAGAGCGGCCAGAGAAGGAAGACAGCTGACAGGTAAGTGAGAGAGCGAGCCCAGGCTGGAGCAGGGGTCAGCAAGGTAAGTATCATTGGTGTCAGTGGGAGGAATAGTGCCCCATCATTTGTGTGACTAATACCAACAATGGGGCACTATTTCTCCCACTGACACCAATGATGGGGCACTATTTCCTCCCCCCCCCGCACTGACATAATGATGGGGCACTATTCCCCCCCCCCACTGACACCAACGATGGGGCACTATTCCTCCCCCCCACTGACACCAACGATGGGGCACTATTCCTCCCCCCACTGACACCAAGAATGGGGCACTATTCCTCCCCCCACCGACACCAACGATGGGGCACTATTCCCCCCCCTGACCCCAAAGATGGGGCACTATTTCCCCCCTCCACCACACTGACATCAATGATGGGGCACTATTCCTCCCACTGACATCAATGATGGGGCACTATTCCTCCCACTGACACCAATGATGGGGCACTATTCCCCCCACTGACACCAATGACGAGGCACTATTCCCCCCACTGACACCAATGATGGGGCACTATTCCCCCACTGACACCAATGATGGGGCACTATTCCCCCACTGACACCAACGATGGGGCACTATTCCTCCCCCCACCGACACCAACGATGGGGCACTTCCCCCCCCCTGACCCCAAAGATGGGGCACTATTTCCCCCTCCACCACACTGACATCAATGATGGGGCACTATTCCCCCCCACTGACACCAATGATGGGGCACTATTCCCCCCACTGACACCAATGATGGGGCACTATTCCCCCCACTGACACCAATGATGGGGCACTATTCCCCCCACTGACACCAATGATGGGGCACTATTCCTCCCACTGACACCAATGATGGGGCACTATTCCTCCCACTGACACCAATGATGGGGCACTATTCCTCCCACTGACACCAATGATGGGGCACTATTCCTCCCACTGACACCAATGATGGGGCACTATTCCTCCCACTGACACCAATGATGGGGCACTATTCCTCCCACTGACACCAACGATGGGGCACTATTCCTCCCACTGACACCAACGATGGGGCACTATTCCTCCCACTGACACCAACGATGGGGCACTATTCCCCCCACTGACACCAACGATGGGGCACTATTCCCCCCACTGACACCAACGATGGGGCACTATTCCCCCCACTGACACCAACGATGGGGCACTATTCCCCCCACTGACACCAACGATGGGGCACTATTCCCCCCACTGACACCAACGATGGGGCACTATTCCCCCCACTGACACCAACGATGGGGCACTATTCCCCCCACTGACACCAACGATGGGGCACTATTCCCCCCACTGACACCAACGATGGGGCACTATTCCCCCCACTGACACCAACGATGGGGCACTATTCCCCCCACTGACACCAACGATGGGGCACTATTCCCCCCACTGACACCAACGATGGGGCACTATTCCCCCCACTGACACCAACGATGGGGCACTATTCCCCCCACTGACACCAACGATGGGGCACTATTCCCCCACTGACATCAGTGATGGGGCACTACTCCTTCCACTGACACCAATGATGTGGCACTATTCCTCCCACTGACACCAACGATGGGGCACTATTCATCCCACTGACATCAGTGATGGGGCACTACTCCTTCCACTGACACCAATGATGTGGCACTAGTCCTCCCACTGCAAAATTACAGTTATGAAGTAGCAACGAAAATAATTTTATGATTGGGGGTCACCACAACATGAGGAACTGTATTAAGGGGTCGCGGCATTAGAAAGGTTGAGAACCACTGCTCTAAAGGTTTATTACCTTGCCATCTGTGTAAGCTAAAAAAAAAAAAACCCTTCAACTGCCTATTTCCCCCACTCCCCTTCCTAAACACTTACCTGAGTCCTCTATAGATCCAGCGCTCTGCCCTGCTGTAGTTCTGGCCTCTCTATGGACATACACAGCCCAGCTCAGGAGCGTGGCTGCACGTGTTATCCCATAGCACATGGTTTGCTGTGGGGCACACACATGATAAGAGCAGAGGCAAGCGGCGGGGGGGACCCCAGAAGAAGAGGTAGGGGACAATGGTATTGCACAGAGCAGGTAAGTATAGCATCTTTTTATTTTAATTAAAGAAATAAAGGTTTACAATCACTTTAACCGCTTCAATACCGGGCACTTTTACCCCCTTCCTGCCCAGGCCATTTTTCAGGTTTCAGCGCTCTCACAATTTGAATGACAATTGTGCGGTCATGCAACATTGTACCCAAACTAAAATTTTATCATTTTCTTCACACAACTAGAGCTTTCTTTTGGTGGTATTTAATTACCACCGGGTTTTTTATTTTTTGCTAAATTAACAAAAAAAAGACCAAAAAATTTGGAAAAAAACCCAACCTTTTTCTTTGTTTCTGTTATAAAAGTTTGCAAATAAATAATTGTTCTTCATAAATTTAGGCCAAGATGTATTCTACTACATGTCTTTGGTGAAAATAACCCAAATTAGGATGTATTTTTTAGTTTGTAGGAAAGTTATAGAGTTCACAAACTATGGTATAGATCTGAATATTGATCAATCCTGAAGTACTGACAGCCAATCTAATTTCTTGAGGTCCAAGTATGTCAGAACAGTACAGATATCCCCCAAATGACCCCTTTTTGCAAAGTAGACAGTCCGACATACTTCATAAGAGGCATGGCGAGTTTTTTGAAGTTGTATTTTTTTTTTTGTCATAATTTTTCGGAAAATGAAAAAATTAAAACAATTATTTTCACTATTTTTTTTTTTACATACTGTCACCAGTGCAGTACAGCGTCATCATATAACTGGCATGGCGGTGATCAGGGACACTGACTGGTGACAGTATGAAAAAAAATATATGTAATTTTTTTTTTTTTAAAAATTATTTTTAATTTTTTATTATATTTTTTTTTCTTTTTTTAAGATTTCTTTTTCATATTTCACTTTGACCAAAGTAGTACAATGTTACCATAGTAACATTGTACTACTTTGGGGAAGTGATCAGTATTTTTTTTTTACACAATTTGCTTATAGCAAAGAATTACTTTGCTATAAGCAAGCATTTACCTGAATGACATCGATTCATTCAGGGCTTTTTGTTTTTGTTTTTTTTTTGTGCTTAGCTGTGATTTGGCCACGGCTAATCACATGACACAGCTGGGCTGTGATTGGCCCAGCTTGTGCATGTGATCACTGTGACCATTCACAGCTAGACACACTAGTATACAATGGATGGCATGAATGAAGCCATCCATTGTATACAACTGTCATGTGACCTGCTGTGATTGGTCACAGCAGGTCACATGGTACCAGCAACGGGGCCGGTACTCGGATCTGTCATCGGCCGTGTCTGAGGAACACGGCCGGTGACAGATCGTGCCCCTGCGCGGCTCTGCAGGTGCGCAAACTGCGCATGCCTGAAAGGATGCCATATGGCGTCCACCGGAAAGGTGAGTGTTTTTGCCGGCCGTCATTCGGCCATAGGCCTGGGCGGGAACCGGTTAAGCACAAAGCTTGAGTACATTAACCTACAGACGGCAGTCAGATGTAAACACACAATCCAGTTGCAAAATGATTGTAAAATATACAGAATTGTAGAATTGTCAGATTATGGAGGAGGTGGATGGAGCACTGGGGCACTGGGCCTGCCCGGGCAGAAAGCAGTAATGATTAGTGAGGAAAACCCAATCCAGCTAATCCATTTCTTTTCCGGGCAGATTTGTCTATGTGGCTTAATGGAAATGTTTTTTCTTTAAAATCCTGTCAGCAGCCTGGTCTCTGTAGTTGGAATAAAGGCATGTGTTATATGTTGTTGTGCTCTTTATGACAATCAGTGTGGTTTTTTTTAGTGAGCATATTTTTTGTAGCTTCTATGATCATAATTACAATGTTGACTTGTTTACCTGTATTTTAAAGAGAGCAAAAGCAGATAAAGAAGATCTTGGTGATCGCTATTTCCAGGATTTGGATTCCCCAGAATATGATGACTTCAGGGCTGAGGCCCTTCTCTATCATCAAAAGCAGCAGGAAAGTTACAGGAAAGCAGCAGAAGCTCACAACCGGGGAATGAAACAAGTTGCAGCTTTTTATGCTCAACAGGTTAGTTTTGTTAAAGGTAAATGAAATCCATTTTATATGGCAAAAAGTTAAAGTGTTACTAAACCCACGACAGTAAAATCAGTCTGTATATGCAGTAAAGCATGCTTGTTCTAATCACTGTGGAACCTAAGGGGTTAATCCTCTGCATTGTGTAAAAACGCTGTTAGATCCTGACTTCTCTGATCCTCCCCTTCTTTCAGTGACCCCCTCTTCTCTCCTGATAAGACATATCGAGACATTCTGCACATGCTCAGTTTGATGTGTATTGCTAGAGAGGTTTTTTTTTTCCTTGGGAGAGTGCATGTGATCTGCACAGGGCCAATCAGCACTGTCCAGACAGAGGTCAGGGGTTCTACATCCTCCTAAAGAAGAAGGAAAACTCCTCCTACAAGCTTTAACCAGTGCTCTGCTGAACACTGATAGAAGTCACAAGACTGCTCTAACTGCTGATGATAAAAGATATTTAACAGTTTATATTTACTAAAATAATTGCATTTCCATGTTGTGTGTACTGTGGGAGACCAGATATAGTGAATGCAGGGTCCTGGGTCTAGTAACACTTTAAGTCTCATTTTGGTCTATACTCCTGGATTAATACAAGAATCAAAGTTTGGGTGACTGTGGTTGATGCCACAGCCTGCCTCTCTCTAAGGCAGCCCATAGGTGAGTCAGTTTTTTTCTTTCAACCCACTCATCTATTATATTCTGATGGGGGGGGGGGTACTGATTTGTCAGAATACACTGATTAGTGCTGCAGGCTATAGCCTGCAACGCTGATGGACCCTGGAAAATCCTACAGGGCGGTTGTACAGAAGTCAGTTGGTTAAATTAACTTCTCTACAACCTTCCTGTCCATACATGAATCGAAATTGGCTGGTTAAGCAAGGTTTTCAATCTGTGTATGGCTGGCTTTATGTAACAAATTAACCAATTTAAATTTTTAGCCCCATAAAAAAAAATAGTGCCTCCATGATGAACAGCGAAACTGGCACACTCAGCCTGGGAGGGGACTTCTTAACCTAATTTTTGCACACGCGTACACACACACACACACACTATTGCCAAAAGTGATGGGACTCCTGCCTTTAACCGCTAATAGCATCCCAGTCTTAGTCCGTAGGGTTCAATATTGAGTTGGTCCACCCTTTGCAGCTATAACAGCTTCAACTCTTCTGGGAAGGCTGTCCACAAGGTTTAGGAATGTGTCTATGGGAATCATAAATATAAAATGCAGCGCTGAGAAGATACCAAAATATAACTAACGTGGGCGCTTAATAGCGCTATAAGGGAGGAGCCTGCCGTAGTGACGTCACTGCGCAGACAGCCACATGGAAGGCCGGCCGCCATTTTAACTATTCCCTAAGTGAGTGCTGGTTGCCTGTTTCATTCTGCTACTATATTGCATTCCTCAATTCCAATAAAAATACTACACTATTAGCACCTTCATGTTTTTGGCTTGATATTAATGAGCCTCCAAGGTGGAGAGATCCTTACTTCTCTGAGGAGTTTATCCGGTGGTCTGAGGTTTACCTGGAGTTGTCCCTGGATGCTGAGAGGGTCCTGTGAGTGAGATTGGAGTTGCCTTGTATGCTGACCGTGTGTTAGATGATTCCACCATTCTTACCTGTACCCAGATGACCACAATGGGATAATATATATACATGCGCTTTGGTTTTGCGCTTCTGGTGAGTGCAATCACATTACCAGTTTCAACCATGGATTTCACCAACACGGATCACTTGAAATTTTGGACTTTATTTATCTTGCTGAATTTATATCAATATTCATTATACACCTAAGTCACTTTATGTTTATATCTATTTATTATCACGTTAATATGCGTCATTACATCACGGTTCACTATATACGTATTGATCACTTATAGCGCTATTAAGCGCCCACGTTAGTTATATTTTGGGCTCTTCTCAGCGCTGCATGTTATATTTATGATTGTTTAGAGGGTAAGAGGTTTAAACTTTAATGCCAGCAGCTAGATAACCAATGCGCTCACTTTTACCTCGCAGTCTCTGCTCTAATTCATCCCAAAGGTGTTTTATCAGGTTGAGGTCAGGACTCCACCCCAAACTCACTCATCCATGTCTGTATGGACCATGCTTTGTGCACTGGTGCGCAGTTATGTTGGAACAGGAAGGGGCCATCCCCAAACTGTTCCCACAAAGGTGGGAGCATGAAATTGTTCAAAATGTCTTGGTATGCTGGCGCCTTAAGAGTTCCCTTCACTGGAACTAAGGGGCCAAGCCCAACCCCTGAAAAGCAACTACACACCATAATCCCTCCTCCAACAAACTTTACACTTGGCAAAATGCAGTCAGGCAAGTACTGTTCTCCTGGTAACCGCCAAGTACAGACACGTCCATCGGATTGCCAGACAGAGAATATGTCTCCACTGCTCTAGAGTCCAGTGGCGGCGTGCTTTACACCACTGCATCCGAGCTTTGCATTGCACTTGGTGACGTAAGGCTTGGATGCAGCTGCTCGGCCATGGAAACCCATTCCATGAAGCTCTCTACGCACTGTTGTTGTGCTAATCTGAAGGCCACATGAAGTTTGAAGGGCTTTAGCTATTGACTCTGCAGACCTTTGGAGACTTCTGCGCACTGTGCGCTTCAGCATGCGCCCATCCTGCTCTTTCATTTTACGTGGCCTACCACTTCTTGGCTGAGTTGCTGTTGTTCCCAGTTGCTTCTACTTTGTTATAATACCACTAACAGTTGACCGTGGAATATTTAGTAGCAAGGAAATTTCACAGATGGACTTATTGCACAGGTTGCAACCTATCCTGGTTCCACGCTTGAATTCACTGAGCTCCTGAGAGCGACCCATTCTTTCACAAATGTCTGTAGAATGATTTTATACACCTGTGGCCATGGAGCTAATTGGAACAACTGAATCCAATGATTTATAGGGGTGTCCCAATACTTTTGGCAATATAGTGTGTATGTATGTGTGTGTATATATATATATATATATATATATATATATATATATATATATACACACACACGTACAATATATACAGTGGGTATAGAAAAGAATCCCCCCCTTTAAAATAATCACATTTTGTTGCTGTGCAGCCTAAAATGAAGTCAGATACAGTTTTTGTTTTTTCCAGCTGCATTTACGCAATACAACTTATAACATCCAAGTGAAAGATATAACACCAACAGATGAGAAATAAAATTCAAAAACAGAATCACTGAGTTGGAAAAAAAGGATTACCCCCCTCCTAAAAATGACTTCTAAAGTCAATCAGGTGTAGCTAATCACCTTCTTAATGGCACACAAAGCCATTTGACTTTCAGCCGTGATCAGCTGTGGTTTTTTTTTTTTTTAATTAGCTGAGCATGGAAGTAGCTTTTCTTTAGCATTTAAGTCCCCAGTAGTGCAACTGAAGCAAACAATCAACTATGAGTGGGAAGACACTGTCAAAAGTAACCGGGATAAAATTGTGGACAGACACAAGCCAGGCAGGAACATTATTAAGAAGTGGAAGGTATTTGGTACAACACAGACCCTCCCTTGATCAGGACATTGCTTCAAACTTGATGAAATAGCCAGGAAGAAACTGGTCAGAGAGGATACTGAGAGGCCTACAGCAACTCTGAAGCAGTTGCAGGAATTTATGACAAAGAGTGGTCTTTGTGTGCATGAGACAACAATATTACAAATTCTCCACAAATGCGGTTTGTATGGGAGGGTTGCAAGAAAAAAAGCCTCACATGCAGTCATGACTGAGCTTTGCCAAAACACACCTTGAAGATTTTGAGGCCACATGGAAAAAAGATGAGACTAAAATTTAATTATTTGGCCTGAACACTAAACGATATGTCTGGTGGAAATCCAGTACAGCTCACCATACACAGCATACTTGTTTGGCCCTCCCCTGCCCCTCTATCTGTGCTGTGGTGACATTAGCTCAGTAATGGGAGAAAAACTGGTGGAGAAGAGAAACATTTGAATACTAGTCAGTACCAGTGTGCAAAATTTGTATTTGCTTTGGAAGAATAAATCACCTCTAGCGTTGGGTGTCCTACATGTATAGATGTTTTTGTGTTATATAAAACTTTTAGAACAGTTTTTTACATTTTAGAATGGGGTGTCTCAAGACTGTCCATAATTTTAAAGGGTGCCTCGGGTCTGTCCATAATTGTAAAGGGGGTGTCTGACTGAAAAAAGGTGGAGAAACACTGGTTTAGATGTGCAAAATTAGTAAAGACATATCCCAGCAGACTAAAGGCTGTAATTAAAGCAAAAGGTGGTTCAACAAAATACTGACACATGGGGGTGATCCTTTTTCCAACTCAGTGATTATGTTTTTTAATTTTTTTTTTTTTTTTTGACATGTTGGTGTTATATCTTTTACTTGGATGTTCTAAGTTGGACAGGGTAAATACAACTAGATACAAAAAAATGTGTCTGTTTTAATTTCATAATATAAAAGTGTAAAAAAAGCGAGCGCTGACCTGTCAGCAGCTGTGCACTCAAGGTAACCAACAAAACCTCAATGAAATCAGTAAATAATAGTGCAGTGCTAAAATGATGATTCAAATAATAACCACAGGTGAAATAAATAAGCAATAAATATGAGTGTACTAAGAGTTTTAATAAATATAGATATAAGAACATATTTTGAGTATCAATCCTGAACAATAAAATATCATAGGGGTAAATAATTCCTGATGGTGACTAAATAGTGCCTATAAAGTCCTCAGAGCTTCAAACGGTGCCAGTGCTGGTATTAGCGGAAGAAATGCGCATTCACTGGACGCACAGTAAGAATGTGCGTTTTGATATATTATCCTGATGTCATCAAGGTAATCATCTGAACCAGTAGGCAGAAACAAGGGCTCCCTCTCAGGGTGGATGGATCCTGGGACTTTAGATGTTGATGTTCCAGGGATGTCCAGAGTTCCCCTTAAGGGATATGTGGGGCAGCTCACAAGGGTTAACAGGAGGCTCCCTCTCTGGAGGCAATGGGCTGGTGCTGGGCGTCTAAAGGATTAAATACTCCCCACAGGGGTCAAAACGGAAGAATGCCCATAGTGTAGTAAGTTGAATAAAACATTTATTAGTAGAACAACAAGGATGCATCCAGAAGTAAACATAAAATTCAATATGATTAACCGTCCCTGAATAGAGATGGCCGTTGGAGCTCCGACAGCGTGACGCCCCAATACACTTAGTTTTCTTCTGACAGGGCCACAACTAGCTCTTTTTTATACTGTGCACAATGGCCCTTTTCCTTTCTATGGGTAAGCCTTACTCATGCTGGCCTCTAGCGGTCAGAGTACAGCTTGCTGGTAGGAATGAATAGCGCCAGAGCCCAGATATGCAGTATAGGGAGGAAAGGTTGCTGGATGAAGGTAAGTCGTGTGCCAGGTGACCTGCACTCAGGAGAGGTGGGGAGATTTGATAAAGGTCAGCTTCACTAAAGGTGCTACCCAGTAGACTCTCATTGGAGGGGGCCTATTATACTCTGCAATTGCATAACCTAATATACTCGATTGTTCCCTTTTCTGATGCTAAATAAACATAGAGAGGAAATTTGGATTTTCTTACTGCCTGCATAACATGATTTTCTAAATTCTTTATAAATGCCGTTTGTATGTTTTTTTTTAATATGTTTCATTTGACCTTTTTTAAATTATAAATGCTTACTACTACTTCTCCTCTAGGGCTATTTGTATGGACAGAAGATGAAAGAAGAGAATAACAGAGCAGCTGTGCAGATCTTTGAACAGGCTAATGAGTACCTCCTGCCAGAGAATATACTAGATTTACATGGACTTCATGTAGATGAGGCTATGAAACACTTCCGCAGGGTCCTGCAAGACAAGACAGAAGGTAATATACTGTCCTATCCTGATATGTTGCTGACAAGTATTCCAGTACTGTGTGCCAGCAGACTAAGTGACAGTTTATATGCTTAGAGTTCATACATAAGTATTGGTCCATAGCTGTAAAGGGTGGCCAGTAGTAGGGTGTGAAAGTGCCTGCTGACACCAGTTCCCCTTTAGAGGTTTTTTTTTAGTTTTTGCACACATGTTAACATCTTCATTTTTGTGAATAATTTTGGAGGGTTTATTGAAATGAACAGGGTGAGGGGATAATGGAAGGAAAACTAAGGATACTAAGTAGATCCAGTTCTTACCAGTGATGCGGTAATTCAGACAAAACATAGGTTTAGCTCTCCACTGTAGACATGTGCTAAGGTGATGGCTGAGCTTTGCAGCTTTGTCTCTTCTTCACATCTGCTCTTGAAAATGGAGCTAGAGCTTCCAAGGAGGTTTCTTGTTGGAGTGAAGGATGATGGGAGGATGGAAACCTTACAGGTTCAAAACTAATAAACAAGTTTCATTAATTTATGTAGGATTCTGCACTTTGAACAATAGGTGGTGGCCAAGACAAATAAAAAGTGACATTAAACCTTTTTTTTAAAAATAACAATCATGTTATACTTACCTGCTCTATGCGATGGTTTTGCACAGAGCAGCCCCAATCCCCGTCTTCTGGGGTCCCCCGCTGGCACTCCTGGTTCCTCCTTCCTTCTGAGTACTCCCCTTAGCAAGCCACTTGCTAAGGGGGGTACTCGTGTGGCCTCGCTCCTGAGCACCGCTGCCTGTGTTCATTGGCACAGACAGTGGGGCTTTGCCCTGCCCCCCACTCCCTCTTCATAGGTTTTGAGTGACAGCAGCAGGAACCAATGGCTCCCGCTGTTATCAATCTGCCCTGTGAGGAGGTAGAGAGTCGCTGCTCTCGTGCAAAATGCTGTATTAAGATCAGGTTCAGGTAAGTAAATGACTGGTGAAGGGGGGATCCTGCAGCAAAGAAAGATTTTTACCTTAATGCAGAGGATTAAAAAAAACAAACAGAAACTGTATGCTTGACGCATGACACTAATTTATATTTTCAGGAATAAGCACACTAATACAATTATTCCCCAGTTATTTTGTACTTGATAAAAGATTAGGTAGTGTAGAGTAAAAAGATCCAAAATGTGACAAGCCTCAAAACTGCATGCGACCGCAAAATGTGAAAAATTATGGTTCCCAAAATTATCTACAGGCAATGCTTTAAAGTAGTAGTAAACTCAGTAACAAAAATCCCCAGCAAGTATAATACCACTATGTATTGCATTTCTACACACAACGTTAAACTTTGGAGTATCATCTCAACTTTCTTACTATTTCTGCAGCTTATTATGGTATTTCTCCATTCTGGTCGAAGCCAGCGCCATCTTTGTGGCTACCTCCTGATCCTTTCCACATCTGCACTTCCGCCCTTTCTAGTATGTCACTGGCAGAGTCTCGCACATGCGCAATTCAAGTGAACCAGCCTCATTTTCATGTAAAGTTACCATGGTGACTTAGCCCGCATAATGAATGGTCAGCACTCCTGGGATTGCAATGCAGTGCGTGGAGTAATGCTGACAGAGGCTTGGCACATGGATGTATAGATTGATGGCACACGGAGTGTGCCAAAATGTGAGGTCCAAAGTAACAGTAAATCAAACCTTATTAATTTAATTGTCAAAAGATTAGGACAACTTTGTGTCACATTTCAGACCTGCCTGTCTTGACCCACAAATAACTGAGGTTAGATTTATAGAATTCTTGCAGCCAGTATATAAGCCCCATGTGATGTATAACATTTTCAGGATTTTAGGTCTTAAGTACCAATGTACACAATTTGCTCACTGCAACCAATCAGGATTTGTTTCATACTCTGGGAAAATGTGACAAGAAACCTGATTGATGCTTGCACTTTTAATATATTAAGAAAGAATTCTCAGGAATTAGAATTGGCACCCAGCAGAATAGATGGTTTTGTTTTTTCAACCTAAAGCATGGTATTTATAATCCAAGACCCTATATTGTTTATAAATATATTAAAAAGTAAGGGTCCCAACACTGAACCTTGGGGTACACCACTGACAACCCTAGACCATGCAGAGTATGAATCATTAACCACTACTCTCTGAATACGATCTTTTAGCCAGTTTTTCTATCCATTTACATACGGATTTTTCCAAGCCTGTAGGCTTTACCTTACATATTAGCTGTGTGTGGGGAACTGTGTCAAACGCTTTTGCAGAATCCAAGTATACCACATCCACAACTACCCCTTTATTCAGGATTTTGCTCACCTCCTCAAAAAAAGAATTCAGGTTTCTTTGACAACTTCTGTTTTTCATGAATCCATGCTGTCTGCTGCTTAACATATTTTTTCCAGCAAGAACTCATCTATGTGATCTTTTATTAAACTCTCCAGTATATTCCAAACTATAGAAGTTAAACTAACAGGTCTATAATTACTTGGTAAAGATTTTGACTACTTTTTAAAAATAGGCACCACATTGGCCTTACGCCAATCCCTTGGTACAATGCCAGTCATTAAAGAGTCCCTATAAATTAGAAACAATGGCTTTGAAATGACAGAGCTCATTTTTTTTAAGGACCTGTGCGTGTATGCCATTCGGTCCAGGTGCTTTATTCACCTTTATTCTGTCTAAATATTTCTGGATTATATCAATTGTGAGCCAATGTGGATCATCCGGAGCTGTGTCAATACCATGCCCATTATGGACAAAAGCTCCCCCATTGCTCCTTTGTATACACAGAGCTGAAGAAGGTATTTCATAAATGTGCCTTCTCTTTGTCCCCAGTCACCCACTCTAGATAATTTTTCCCGTATGTGCGTGTTGTTTACAGTGAACAATAAATGAAATCATGTTATGGTCACTGCTACCCAGATGTTCTTTTATATAGACGTTAGTAATAAGCTCTGCATGATTTGAGATTACCAGGTCCAGCAGAGCATCATTCCTAGTTGAGGGTTCTATGAACTGTACCATAAAATTGTCCTGTAGTCTGTTTATACATTTTTGCCTTTTAACTCCTCCTGTAGTGCCTTTACTCCAGTCAATTTCCTGGTAGTTAAAATCCCCCGTTATTATCACTGTCCCAGCCCTTGCAGCTTGTTCGATCTGTGCAAGGTTAGACAAACATGTTCTTTCTGTCCATGGTGTTATAATCAGTCATAAAATACAGCAGGAAGTATTGGTGTCAAACCACTGAACTCAGGCTGGGGGAAGACACAGACATATGAAATAGGGTCAGAGTTGGTGTGTAGCCCAGATAAGTTATCTACAAATCTAGATAAAGGCTGGTCAACAGTTTTTTAAGATACAAAAGAAAAAGTACCATACTCATAGCATTGTTGAATGCTTTATGGGCAAAAGTACATTTGTGGGTGTTGTGGTTTCTGCTGCAGTGCATGTATTTTTTTTAAGGGTTGTAGTCTGGTCCTGTAATGATAAGGGCTTTATGCTAGAGTTCACATACATAGTTGAGCTTTGAACTCCAGCCAACCAACCAGTTATGGTAATATTTATTGTAGAAGTCTCTATAATTGTGTGTCAGCTCATCTGTGAGTTCATGTGATCAATTTTTGTCAGCCACCCAGTGATCAATGGAGAGCTGGGTGACCAATGGAGAGCTAGAGTGTTTAGGAATCAGGGCTTTTGCAGTGGCAATAGGCTGTGGCTGATGAAGAGGATGATGAGAGGTCATTGAACCTGTATGCCTGTGTCACCAGACCACGAGATATGAGAAAAGGCTTTTGGGGAAATACCTGGCTTTTATTCAATTAGGAGGTAACATACTGAAAAAAAAAAAAAGATTGGTTTGTTTCAGTTCTTTAAAACATTGTGTGTGCTGTGTCATCCTATGTAAACAAAGCAAAAGCAAAGGACATTTCAATACATAGCTGTGTGTGCCAAACACTAAGTTGCTTGGAAAAGCTTAAAATTACCAGTATTTATATACAGTGGAGAGTTGTGATGATTTTATATTCACCAGGGAACTGCCACTGATATGGAAGATTTCCCATCATTTTTGGTCATTTGGCCTTTATAGTTCACAGCTCTTTGATTGGTAGGTGGGATTAAGTTAACATGGAAACAACTGGTTTGTCTAATATGGCAATACAAAGAGCATTGATAACAAACAATTAACAAGGAGCAATTGATAATGCAAATTGATAATAATCTGCAGAAATCCACAACACACATACAACTATATCAGCTTAGATCACATAACAATAAATCATTTTCTGTTGGCATGATATTGCTGTAGGTTTTTGCACTTTTTTGTTTGCACATTTAAATATGTTTGCAGCTAATTACAGCTAGTTAAAAAAAACTGATTTTATTCTAGTTCAGAAAGTAACATTAAGAAAGCATCTAGATTTTACCTTTGCAAAATGTTTGTATGTGTAACAGATTATCGACAGAATGGAGGCAGCCCACACCTTCTTGTGATAACTGGAAGAGGGAATCGAAGCCAAGGGAGGTGTTGCACGCATTAAACCAGCAGTCGTAGACTACCTCACAAATCATGACTTCAGGTGAGTCTACTTTTAGTAATACACCATATGTAAGGAACTCAATGTTATGCTGGCTCTCTCCATCCAATCATTCCAGATACAAAGTACTTTGGGAATAATGCAAGTCAGACACTAAAGTTTGAGGTGTAGAACTCAGAGATCTTCATTATGGCTTGAGCTTAAGTAATATTGATAACACCGAATATTTCAGGCGGTTTCCATAAAGCACCAATCAGGATATGTTATAGATATTAAAATAAACCACGATGTGGTGTGTCAAAAGCTATCATAAACAAAATAGGAACTTCTAAAATTGTTCAAGGCCTAGAGAAGCCTTCATAGATAACAACATTCCATTCTCCAGGGAATCTCCTGTTCATGGGAACAAAAGTTAGTAAGCCTAAAGCAGAGGTTAGTTAACTATTAACCCTTTCACCATGTGGGGACTGGTCCTGAATGTCCTTTGTTCCCTTCAAATCGTGTTCTTATACTTGTCAAAAGTTTGTTGTCAGTTGCCTGCTTGAAATAGTCTATACTACAGATCTGTGTTACATCTGGTTGTAACCCTTTGATACTTTATTATCAGTTCTGTATCCTACTACTACAAGTTTGCAACTTGATTAAAAATTCCCTTCTTCTACAACTCAAAAGCTACTATGTGCCACGATATAATCATAAGCACTTGTTAGGAGGTTGTGATTTTTGAAACAAACCTGACCTGGTCTAATAAGTTCCTACCATAACAGTGACAAAATCCAGGTACCCTTTTGGTGTCTGCTATTACCCATATTCTGCTTCAGTTCCACCCCTGTGTAGCTATTTGAATCAAAGAACCAGGCTGTACACAGAGCCAAGCTTTTCCCCAAATTGAAACTGCTCCCTTCTCCCTCCTTTTCAGCTATTAGCTGACAGACACTCTACTGCCTACTAAGGCTCTGCCATTTTCTAATTTCAAGTTCATTTGGATAAACTGTGTGCATAAAAGGAGCTTCACAGGGATCCTTTTGGAGACTAAAACATGTACTGGTACATCAGCAGTATTGTTACCATAGATAGGTTTTAAGCTTGGCTTTCCACTGCTTTACAACCCCCTTGTCCCAAACTTTCACCCGGGGCCTGCATGCCCACCCCATGCCTGTATACTGCTCCCCTGTTCTCACCACCATAGATGAAACCTCACCACCATCCCACTCTTAAAACTGTCTAATCCACTTAATTCACCTCATCCCCCTGCTCTGAACACCATCTCTTAAGCCAACATTTCACCGCCATGCCTGCACCCTCACTTCTATGTCTCGGCACCTCCCCCAGCTCTGACTACCTGGGCATTTCTCTCACTGCTCTCACTTTATAACTGCCATGCATGCCCATACCATCACTGCCTCCACCGTGTTTTACAAATGACGTTGTGTGCTTTGGATCATGAACTGTTCCAAGCCTTCTCCACACTTTTTTCTTCCCATCATTCTGGTACAGATTAATTTTAGTTTCATGCATCCAAAGAATGCTTTTCCAGAACTGGTCTGGCTTTTTTAGATTTATTTTTGGCAAAGTCTAATCTGTTTTTCAGGCGGACTAGATCAGAACCTCCATTCTCCTCTATGGAGCGGCAGGCGTAAATGGATGGGTCAGTTTACACCTGCCGACATCCGATCCAATCTGCCCAAAAGGGACAGGTGGGGATCCAATTCCCCTTCTGTCCATTGGATCGGATTGGATAAAAACAGACAGGCAGTCTGTTTTCATTCGATCGCCCATTCAGGAGAGCGAGCAGCTCTGTGTCTGCTCTGCAGCAGTGGAGGGGACACAGAGCTGTCATCTGCTTGCTCATCAGGGATCAGCAGAGAGATCCCCCACTGAGCGGGTCTGTCCCGTGTGAAAGAGCCCTAATTGAAGAAATAACACAGGCGTAGCCCACACCTGGCCATGAAACAGCTCTTGATTCAATTGTCCAATTACTTTTGGTCACTTGAAAAAGGGGGGATGGCTACTCTTAAGAGCTGTAATTCCTAAACCCTTCCTCCAATTTGGACGTACATACCCTCAAATGAAACCTGAGAGTGTGCACTTTCAGCCCACATCCATTATATAACTATAGCTTGAATATGTTTTGGTAAATACCTGAAAAAAAACTAAAATTGTGCCTGTGTCCAAATATATATGGACCTAACCGTATATGTATATGTGTGTGTGTGTGTGTGTGTGTGTGTGAATATAATATATATATATATATATATGTGTGTGTGTGTGTATATGTGTATGTGTGTAGATATATATATATATATATATATATATATATTTCACATCAGTCCCTGCCCTCGAAAACTTTTACAATCCTAACCCACATTCAAATACTAGGGCCAATTTAGACAGGAGCCAATTAACCTACCAGCATGTCTGAGTGTGGGAGGAAACCCACACAGGTGCAGGCAGAACATGCAAACTCCAGCCAGGTACCGCTGTGGTTGAGATTGGCACCAAAAACAATCGTGCTGCTAGGCAGAAGTGCTAACCACTTAGCCACTGTGAAATCCATCCAAAGTGTGGGAATCAAGGACTCCCACACTTTGAATGAATTTCCTCTTACTTCCTGTTTTGGCTATGGGATACAAAGCGAAGGGAAATCTCCACAATGGGACACAAATGGCAAAATATTTGACAGGGTTTATAACCTCCCTTACTCTATCCAAAAACGTTTTGCCTTTAAATCTGTTACTGTGTGGTACTGCATGTTGAATGATATTCCATTTGTAATGTTTTCATTCTTTTTCATCTAGATTTCAGGAGAAGACACCAGGTGCCCTACGCATCACACTCAAATGAATGGATGTATGAATTACCGAGACCGTTTTTACTATAAAGTGGAGAGTTTTAACACTTGTGTAATCTGAGTTGTGTTAAAAATGTGTATTGGCAGTTAAGGGAATGTTTACAAATTAATGTAATCTCTTGTATGAAAAATTGGAGATTAAGGGAGCATTCTGTTGAATAAGCAAAATATGGGAAAAATGTTTTCAATAATTGGATAGGCATAGGATAGTGTTATTTCATATTTAATGACTTGGGCATGTGTCCTCATGCATGTTTCTTTTACACTGTAAGGTTTTCCACCTTACCCATTTTCCCCATGAAGTGTGTCTGGCACGTTCCTCAGTTACACCATTTTATATTTGTTTCTAAAAATTGGTGCTGAGGTTTCATGTCTTTCATTTCTGAATTAGTGAGTACCCATTTTAATGCAACATTTTACTTTTCTCTGCTTTGGAACTATAGAATGCAATAGGTATGTGTGAAATGTTACCACTTCTGGAATTTAATGGCTAAAACACAAGTGATGGAGACTCAGGTAAACACAAGGTGACGGTCTATGCTCTGAAGCATGACATTACGTGATTCACATTGACTTTGATTTTTACACTTCTGTTTTCTTGAAGTCCCAGTTCGGGATCACTTTAGTGGAGAGAGACTACATGGAGCTGTGTCCATGTGTCCACTGAAGTGTGTTGCAGTGAATAGCATAGCAACCTTTGTTGCACATAGAATAGAGATCATAATGCACATATCAACATGCAGCAGAAGTATAGAGATGTCCAAAAATCAAGATGAGTCTAATGCAGCTTTTAATACTTTTGTTGAGCCCCAGCATTTTCTTCATTTTAGGTATTCTCTCTCTAAGCAAGTATATCCATAAGGTGTTACGTTGAGATATTTTAATACAGATTAAGATGCTTCCATTTGTTAGTTTGAAATACCACTGGTCCAATTAAAGGTTTGACATGTAATGTGCAGGAACAATTTTTTTGTCAGCCCCCGGTATAAGTTTGTAACACTGTTACCAAGTCACTGTCATTACGTTTTTGTTAATGAAATCTGCATTACCCATTCATAGGAGGAGTTGCCATTTTGTGAAATTTCTGCACCCTATCATTCATTAACCTGAAATCATGTTTGTGCTAAGAATGCTTGGGTGTTAGACCTTGTTTACGCACACCCACATCCTCACAGATGTCGAAATGGAAGCAGCAGCCGTATCCATGCATCTTCTGTGTCCCAATTAACATCTGTAGGCCTGCCTGCACAGGCATGGACAGAACATTTGGGAACATGTGGGTAACCATGGTCCTCCATTTACATATGCTTTAGTATGCCCTATGTGAGTGAGGTCTAAGACTGCGTCAGCTCTAAAAGGCATTGTGGTGTAGTAAGACGTAATTATTGAGTATATGTCATACTTGTGCATTGCTCTGAAACGCACACCTTGCTGCAGCGCACCGTAAGCAAGCAGTACACCACAACGTACATACAATGGGCTGTGGTGAGCTGCATTGCTAAAAAGTGTTGCGTATTTTTCATCAGTTTTGGTGCTCTGGTAGATTCTTCATAATGAATGGTCTTAATGTTTCGCACTGCAATTGAATGCTTCTGCACATTTTGGCCCCATTCCTCTTTCATCCCAAAATGGGCACCAAAGCTTGCTGACCACAGTGATATTTTATCTGCACAACAAATCCTTTAAATCTCTAGACATGTTGTAGGTGGCATTCTTTAGTGCACGTTTTATTTACTTTGACCAAAATATCCCTCAATTTGCAATAGGCACTGAGGTCAAACACTAGTCAAGACCTCTAGTTCACTGCGCTGTTCATTCTGCAGCAAACTTAACTGAAGGCAAGGTCACATGGCTGCAGTACTGTATACAAATTCTATGAACAGATATGTAATCGTAAATACCTGTGATTGGTGACAAAGGCAAAATTTTGCTCTAGTTATGGCTATTCATTTTGAATTTAAACAAAGTTGAGAAAAGTTTTTTCTTTAGCCATTAATTGTCATTTCAATTCAAGTGCTTCTGCTTTTATCATCCTTCATCACAACATTTACTATTACATAGTGGAATATATAGGATTTACCAGAAGTTTCAAAACATTCAGCATTCTTGTACTGGTTTCACTACTAGCCTGAAGGTATACCCTTTGGTGATGTTGTGTAGGTAGATCAAATCACTTGTCACTCAGTATAGGTAAGACTTTGTAATAGCCTGAAATTTAAAGAACATTTAACTCAAAGATGTCTCTCTCTGCTGAATCTTTCATTACCTCTGATAGGGCAGGATAAAATGCGTTTGTTACTTTTTGTTTCCTACATTGAATATAGCAGATTGTAAGTTGATGGTCACTGAATCATCTTAAGCTGCCTATATGCTAGTACATTTTCAAACAAATAATTGTACAATTAGTACATTCAGTGGCTTGATGGATGTTGTTTAAAAGTACTTCAAAATTTTGTTTGCTTTTAAAATTCGATTTTGGAACTAATGGACTTTACGGAACGAAAACCACATTCACTGTTATAAATTTCATTCTGGAAAAATTTTCCATCCTGCTCCTTTGCATTTTCTCATCACTATAGTCGAAAATGAATGTTGATTTGACGCCAGTAATAATTAGAAAATTTAACACATTTTTTTAAATGAAAAAAGTATGAAACAAACCTTCTAGTGTAAATGTCTAGTGTAATATACTAGTGTATAGCCAGCTTTAGTGAAGAAGTGAGTGAGGAAACTTTGGCTGTGAGAAAATCTCATCTTAAAAGTTTGCGCAGTGCAGCAATCTTCAGCTTGCTAAAAAATTTTCATATTGCCATTTATATGAATTGTAGACTAAAATTTAAAACACTTTGTGATGTCTTAACATTTGCATGAAGATTCATGCTTAAAAGCACCAATTGGCTTTGATTTACAATATCAGTGTCTGAACTCATGGACATCTTGCCTATATAAAGGCACCCCTTTTTATTAGTAGTGTAGAACAGAAGACAGTGCCATACACAAGTGCAAGGTACTTGTGTTACAATCTGTACATTTAACAAAGCTACCACATGTAAATGTGTACTCTGTACCTTTAACAAAACGTGTGCAAATTTGTACGTATTTACATTTTACAAAACTTTTTTTTTTTTTTTTTACTTAATTGAATTTCACAGAGTCTTTTTGTTTTATTTAGCTATTTTTCTTTTAATCACATATTAGATTAAAACACTAGAAAGCAAAGTCACTTTCTTGGAGTTATTTTAAGCTGTTTTATAACTTCACAGCCATGGATGGCTATATTATTTTTTTGTTTAGTAAAATAATGTTATGAAGTGGAATAAGTCATAGCAACCCATCAGATTTTTGCAAGTCCTTGATGGCTGCTACAGGTTGTTACACATTTTTTCACATTGTACTGTAATTTAATAAAGCTAGCTGGGTCCCAGATCAGTATATACCATTGTTTCTTATTAAAGTGATCATTGAAATATCAGTATATGGGGAGAGGGTAATTTTATTTTTGAATATCTTATTGTTGTTAATAGGTTCTACAATATAGTTTACAATGCTTTAATATCCATATTTGAGAAGCAACAAACACACATAATTTGTAAGGGTTGTAAAAAAAAACTTTAACTTCTGAACACGTTTACAACTACTAGTTAGTCTGTAATTACAGACAGCAACTGAAACACACAAACTGTTTTATTTTCCAATAAAATAAGGTTTTATATATGTAAACAAGATTTTACATTAAACTGAATGAAGGTTTCAAGTATAATCTCATACTTAGGTGCTAACTTGTGAATTCTGAAAATATCTTTGCAAACCGAACAATTAATATTAAGCAATTACATTTTCTCAGAAAACATGTTACTTGTTGCAGATATGAAGCATAGTTTTCTGGGGCTGTGAATGAATGTACAGAAAATTACACATATATGGTGTACATATAAATATTTTTTTCTAAAAATGTACATTTTTTTGAATGGCATTCTGTTTGTAAAAAAAAATATACATTTATTTTTTCTTGATTTTACGCCCAAAGATTTTGTATCTATAATATTGTACCTGCCATTTGCTAAATTTGTGGACTAGTGTTATTAAAAAAAAACTATTTCCTTGTATTTCTATTTTTAAAGTTTGTACACGTTTCATTTTAAGGCATGTATTATGTATTTTGTAGTTTGAAGTTATTTTATTGATTTTTAAAAATACGAATAAAGAACTTAAAAAGCTTAATTTTATTATGTTAAGTGTGTTTTCTATTTTTTCTTTAAAAGGGAGTGAGTCCTGATGCAAAGCTACAAACTAAAAAACAGTTTTTTCATGCCAACAGATATTTTTGCTGGTGTCCTTAGGCGATTGATGTCTTCTCTCTGCTGAGACAATACCAATTCTTTTTTACCAATTCTTTTCTCAAGCCACTGCACCTCCCTTATTTTGGAGCTTTCTGAATCAGTTACCTTTGGGGACCATACCTGGACCCTGCCTGGAAAGAAGATGCAGAGTTGGCAATGGATGCTGCATGGGCACGCACCTTTTCATGTGGCACATTCCATTGTTAGCCACAGGGTTCTATACAGGTTCAGATCCATGATCCATCAGATGGTGAAGCCCTGTCCCTGAAAACCCCTTAGGGGGTGTTAGGAGATGTGCTTACTGGGGTAGTGACGACCTGGAGGGGGTTTGTCCTTACTCTCCTGTACATCCCTAGGAGGACTGCAAGATCTGCCACGGTAAGCAGTGCTTTAGCCCTTTATCTGGTGCCCAGGGTACTGTTTCTTCTGTCCACCTAAGGCTTTGCTATGAAGCTTAGGCTGAAACAGTGTAAACAATCTGTCACCACCATAGAGCTGGAGAACCTGTGCCTTCTGTCATATTTTTTTTATTTTGGCATGATTTTTTGTTGTACTATGGTTCTGGGGCCACCATTGTGCCTTGCAGCCTCAGTACCCCAGAGCTTTCTGTGCAAGAGTTTGCCATTTTCCTTTTCAGCGCATACCTACCAGCC